GTTATGAATCTAAATTCATGGGAATTTTAATTTCATTTGACAGACAGAGACTAGCAGTGCCTTGCTGATTGCTATTCCAGATGGCGGCAAGAAAATTCCATTTGAAGGTTTTATTAATTTTCGTTAAAATGGCAAGCTTCGCCGATGCTGTCTTTGCTTTCCCGCTGATGAGGCTGACTGACACCTCGCTGCTCCCTCCATTTGTCATTGTTTGAAAAGGTCTTAATTGTATTACATGCAAATGAAGAGATTTGATTTTTGCCCATTATCTATTCATAAGAGAAAATGAACAGAACATTAGTGGGTCACTAAATGAGGGAGGGAGGTAAATAGACTGGGATGAGACAGCGTTGATCAGTTAGACAACAGAGGGCGTAAGAGAAGTTGCCACGGTGATGTTTAACGTTTAGTGTTGTGTAAAAATAATCCCTCCACCTTTCTATGGAGGCCTTGTCAGGATGAGTGTATGGAATCCTGTAGGTCAGAGATGCAGAGCATCATTAACCTATGATGACTGAAACACACCAATTACAGTCATGCTCATGTGGCAAATCAAAGTGACAGAAGCTCGAATAACGACCTCCATCCTGGTCAGCCTCAGATCATCATTAAATGCCACCCATATTCTCATAAAATGCACATTCTGTTTTAAACGTGGAGTGGGCGTTCTGAGAGAAAACATTCAAGCAAGTTCAGTTTAGCAATATAACAACGTAAAGGTCCAACCCCCTTTCCTTAGGCTCCCCCCTATAGTCACAGAATCTGATGGTTGCAGAAAATAGTATGGCAGCAGATGTAACAGATACAGACACTGTCGAAAACCATAAACTGCTGGAAGTAGTCTACCAAAATAAAAGCAGGGTGAAGAAATCTACTATCGAAGGTCTCAGCCTGAGATCACGTACCTGTCCTGCACACTGGTAAATGATTCATGGTTAAAAGGACTCTGACACATTAAACAGAGGATCTCTTCACCCTGCTTTTAATTTGGTAGCCTATTTTTTATTGCACAGCAGTCCAATTCAGTTTACGTGTTGGATGATTATTTTGTTTAAATAGCAACGCTAATACTTAGATTTTAAACTTTCAGTTCCACCTTATGTGTTGATTTAATCGTAACTTTTTTTCCAATTATTAATTGATTTTCATGGTCCACTCCTGCCACACTTTATATATATATATATATATATATATATATATATATATATATATATACATACTACCTCATAATTGTGACTTAGTGTCTTATTATCATGAGATATTATCACATAATAATTTTTTATAGTGGTGGGAATGGGCTTCTGTAGGTTTCTGTTACAAAAGTTTTTATGGGCTTCATGCTGACAAACTTAAAATGGCGGCTTATCACAGTAGAATACAACTACAATATTCTTCAGGATTACAGTGTTGTCCTTTTTTATCTCAAATTTGTCATTTTTTTCCCCACAATGAAAGAAAAAGCTGAAAACCACTTTCAGACGTGAGCGTTACTCTTTTCTTCTTTAGAGGCCAAAAGCAGGACACGGTGAGATCCTGATGAAGAGGGACGGTGAGGTGTGTTGGTCAGGAATCAGATATGTTTCCTCCACATGGAGCCTGTTAGTGTTGGCCCATTGTTAAATTACAGCCTAATTTCTCTCCCATCATCATAACCATTTGTTTTCCTTTAAGGCTGGAGATGTGAGAGCACACAGATGTTGACCTGGTTGTGTTTTAATGCTGGGATTGTTGCATCATCACCATGCCTTAACATCAGAACCTGTTCTACGTATCAAGTCATTTTCTTTCTTTCAAATGATGGTTTTCTTCAATATTTGACATAAATTAGCTCTAAATTATTTGCTCAAAACCTGATTTTTAGTGCAGTTCTCTACACGCTGAGCCAATGTGAATACAGTGCATCTTTGTTAAGGTTTGACCATCGTATTCAAAAAGACTTGAGGCTGTAATTTTTGCCAAAGGTCCTTCAACAAATTATTGTGCAAAGACTGAGAAACAGATTTCTCTCCTTTTTTATTTTTAGCTAATTTGCAAAAATCTAAAAATATATTTTTCTTATTGTCATGAAGGTGTGTTGTGTGAAGAATTCTGACAAAAAATTATTCCATGTTCAGTAAGACTGTAGCATATCAACATAGGGATGCATATTGGTAAAAATCTGGTGATATGATACTTATCACGATATGTTGCGATACATTCTGCCAGACGTTATTAACATTTTTTAGACTGAATTTACTGTAGGAAAATTCAATAAGCAGTCCAAATTGACACTTAACATGTTTAACAGGAGGTGTCTGAACCATAATAGTGAGATTTACTTTCCAGTGGTGGAAACAAAACCCATTGCACACTGCTACTAACTAGTGGTCAGCATTGATTTGCATAAAAAAAAAAAGAAAATACACAAATGTTTGCATGTAAATTTTTCCAAAAATTTGATATGCAGCTTTTGAATATCGATACAATGTTGCAGGAAAAATTACCACGACATATCGTTGATGGGGCTTGTTTTACCGTTGTCTTTCAAATGATCTCCGCATGCTAGTGGACAATGAACAATGTGAAGTACTCACCGCAACTGATGTCGGTAAATGAGGCAGTCCGCTGTTGAAGAAGGCGATAATACGTCCTTTTTCTAAATAAAGAACTTAAATACATCTATCTGCTCCTGGTTCTAATAAGTCCAAACTGCCCAAAATTGATGTAAAAGCCATTTCAAATGAGCTGTCTTCATCTTGTTCCACTCTTTTGCATCATCCCACCTGCCAGATGAATAGAGGGCCCTGATTAGCCCATAAAGCAGACAGAGACCTGTGATTGGCCAGCCAGAATGCTGCTAGGGGTTGTAGAGGTTCCAATGGAGCATTCCTAGACCAAACTTTGCAAGGCAAGAATTTGGTCTAGTTCACTAGGCTGGGTCAGAGGGGCTAATGGTGCAAAATGGCAGCCTTCCCTCTGTCAGACCGCCACAGGGTGGCTGTGGCTACATATTAGCTAACCATCACCGGCAGCGTGTTGAGTAAGTAATAGAAGCACATTGAGTGCCTAGAATAGCACTATAAATCCAATCCATCAACATTATCATTAAAAGTTTATCTACTAATCAACTGACTGTGTGTGACTCATCTTTGCTTTCTATCTAGAATCTTTTGTTGTTGATTCATAACTGGCAACAACCACGACACTCACCAAAGGCAGGCTGGGGCTGTATTACTGAAAGCAGACTCATTTGTCTTGATTTCTGGCCTGCAGTACCCACTTTTGACCACAGTTTGTATTTAATTATGCATCTGTCATCAAAACATTATTTTGAATGCACTTTTTAGCTTTTGGATCATATTTGGTGGAGTGTTGACAGTTTTGTTTAATTCATTGCTGCCACTAGATGCACCAGTCACAATAACGTTTTGTTTACGTTGGAATATTTCTTGTTTTTAGACTCACAACATTGTCAGAAGAAAAATAAAAACTCAAAAAGGAAAAGCTAAGTATCTGCCTGTTGACTGTGGTGCATCTGTGAAAAAACATGCTGCTTTTCGTGTTTTTATTTGTGTTATAAGAAAATATAATCTATGGTTTATATTGATGTAAGTAGAGTGAAAACGTATCAACCAGCCTGACCGATGGTTTATAGTAACTCATGCCAACAAAACTACTGATATCAAACTTTGTGGTTTGCCGATCCCAAATCAATATGCTAATGCTAGCCTTTAGCTCCAGCTGTTGTAAAACATCAAAGAGCAACCAGCCTGAAGACACTTGGCCTTGTTGACTTAGGCTTTGAATCACATTCCCTCACATTTTACAGAATAATTATAGTAAACAGGGAGATTAATGATCCATCCATCTATCAGGTAAGACAAACAGAGCCGCATCCATCCCCACAACTAAAATCCATTCACTCCACCTCAACCGATCCCTCTTGCTAACCCTCCTCCCTTCTCTTGCTGCCCTTGAGCTTTTCTATTACCACATGGAAAGCACCTTGCAGCCCCTGACAAGCGCAGCGGATCGACACTAAATCAGAAATCAGTGCCAGCCGCGGATCTGAGCCACCATGAAGGTCACAGGGCCTACACTGCATGTTGTCTCAATTGGGGGAGCACACACAGCTTGGATGATATGTGACTGTCTCTCTACCTCTATTTCTATGTGTGTGTGTGTGTGTAAACAGGAGACACACTGTGAGTAAAAACTGTATAGTGATCCTGATGGCGAGAGTTACATATTGATGCAGAAGAAGATAAGAAATAAGAAGAATCAAGATAAAAGCTGAGCTGTAACAGGAAACATGAAGAAAAGTTTAGTTTAAAAAAATACAACTTTTGAAGACAAAAGTTAAGTAAAAAAGCTTAAAAAGTATTAATTATCTCTGTGGAAAAGATTTGAGCTTCCTTTGGATGAAAGGATGGTGACACACTGCCATCTAGTGGTAGGAAGAAGAATAACAATTCAGTGAGGAAACACCTGCTCAATGAGTTTCATTACAACAGTAATGTTCTTCTGTCTCTAGGTGAAACATTTGATTTATTTTACATTTATCTTCAATACATTTATGGATGAGCTTAATATCTACTTAATTATATTTTCATAAAATTATATTTTTAGCTATGGTGGGCCAGGCTCCCCTTAAATGTTATAGTAGTGATAATTCATAATCATATTTGCACAATGAAGTAAAATTAAAAGTACAATGCAGTAAAACTGATAGAAGTACAAGTGTTAATCGAGTAAATGTAACTGATTTGTACTCGCTTGGCAGTAACAGAACTACAGAGATAAACTGGTGTTTTAAATAACTTTGTTTTCAGTTCAGTAAAAGCTGCGCACGTCTCCTCCCGCCCTCTCATATGGCCTCTAGAAACACATCGCTGTTTAAATGTGTTCCGGATTGGATATTTAAAATAGCAGAATGAAGAAAAACAAGTAAAACCAAACAAAACGGCAGTGAAGTAAATGTTGTCACTACCCCACTTCCCAGTTCTCAGGGAGTTTTGTCCACTTGCAGCTTCCGTAGTCTGAGTCATATGATAGGTTTTGTTTTGGTCGTGACACGAATTCTGCTTTTCATCACGCTGGCTAAATTCTGCTGTTTTAGCTTGACTTTTTCGTGCTTTATCTGAACGAAACGGACCGAAACTTGCATTATTTTGTTTTATAATATTCACTAAAAGAAGACGGAAGCTACATCCGCTACCCTATTCACCGGTTGCTGAGACCCGCAACTAGATGCAGATACATTGATGTTCCAGTTATCAGCGCCGGGTTTCGTCATTAAACAGAGTTTCTTGTGTTTTGCTTTTTAAGCCAACATTTGTCGCTAAAAGACGAGGTTATGCTTCGGTGGATTCTTGGTGGTCGGGAAGCGCAGGGGTCCCTGGAGGTAAGCTCCGGTTCCAGCCAGATTATTTCTAAGGATCACGCCAGTTATTAATACGCAATAATACCCTCCCCTCTTTTATTATCCTTACTGTAACTTTATTCTAAATCTCAAAAAATATATTTTTCTCATATTTAGTCATTTTATCCCCCCCCACATAAACAACATGAGTGGTTGAGTCCAGAGGCGGTAATAGAAGCAGCACTTTATTGGTGTGCCCCCCCCCCCCCCCCCCCCCCCCAGCCGCCCACTTAAAAACAAAAAATCGTCTAAAGTTGTCTAGGTTTGTGGGGCAGCAGTAGCTCAGGAGGTAGAGCGGGTTGCCTCATGATCATGGGTCATGGGCTCGATATTCTGCTGTGTCCTTGGTCAAGACCCGTTACCCAACTTGCCTGGGTTGGTGGTGGTCAGAGGGGCTGCCGGCGCCAAATGGCAACCTCGCCTCTGTCAGACCACCCCAGGGCGGCTGTGGCTACAAAGTAGCTTACCATCACTAGCAATGTGTGAATGTGAGAGTGCATGAAAGCATCTTTGAGTGATCTAAACAAGCGCTATATAAGTCTGATGATGATGATGATTATTATTATTATTGTTATTATTATATAGGTGTTTTTTGGCCAACGCCCACATGTGCTGCCAATGATTTGGGCATATCTTCATGGCCGATATCTAGATGTTTTTAACATTTAATAAAAAATTATCATATTTCCCTCCATTTTTATTATGATATTTTAAAATCTTTTTGTGTTTTACTTAAGCTGTTCTTGTGATGTGCTTTGTGATCTTTATCACAATCTTTATCATCTAAAAAAATATTTTTTTCTTCATTAACTGCATGATTAAAATGTCACTAATAACAGTTGAAGCACAACATATCTGCACCTGGTCAGTTTTTGAACTCTGACTAACCAAATGTTGAATCTTAAAGGGACTTTACAGAGTTTTGAATTTTTATGCTCGTGATTGCCTCCTCAGGCCAAAAGCATAACGGCAGCTTCAATTGTAGGCTCGTGCACGAGGCGCGCATGCTGTACGTACACACTCCTTAACGAAAATAACAGCTGAGACAGTCCCTTGTGTGTTTGTGTGTGTGTGGGGCCCAGAGGACAGGAGAACACGCAGCTAATTAATTAAATAATTTGTTTCTGTACCTTTCTCTTCAGCACAGCCGACAAAGTTTTAAGATGGGTCAGTCCTCCTGCATGCTCAGATCATTCCCTTCCCTTGCTTGAAAAATTGTTCCAGAATGAAAGCTGAACCCACATCTTTTTTATCTGTGAATTCAATGCCGTTGGGCATCTTACTGTAAAAGAAATATACCATTAATGTAAAAAAGAAAGTCTAAATAAACTATGTTCACATCCAGAATCGAACCCAGGACTTCTACACGGGAGTCCGACGTCTTACTAGGTGAGCTTAAGCGCCAGTGATGTCATTTGTATCTGTAACATTTATATCCTTGGTGACAGCTGAGACAACATCCAAAGAACGGTTCGGAGTGAAAATGGCTATTTTGTTGCTAATTTGCAGGAAATATCTAGAAGAAAGTTCTACAGAAAGTAGCTAAGGGTCCTCAGAAATGTAGCTAGCTTTGTCACTAGGCGTTAGGAACAGCGACAAAGTGGCACTGTCTCTCTCTCTGCTGCTAAAGCTACTGATAGCAAATGCTACGGGCGATGCCTGAGCGTGAACGCGCATGAAGCAGCCTGCTCGACCCGAGCATCTCTCTTTTTCTGTGATTTTACAGAAAAACAGGCAATCACAGTAAAAGTGCCAGGGCTCATTCTACAGGACCAGGGCGTTGCAGGAGAATATATGAAGAAGACATTTATTATTTCTATACATGTTTTGGCTGTCAAACTTCCATAATGCCCCTTTAATTCTGTACACTGCTCAAACTGAAACCAAAGTCAAGTAATAAAGGAGAACCACATCTTTAAAAGCACAAACCAAGGGACCAGAAAGAAACGCCAGTTGATGGTAATGTTTCTGAGCATGTTTAGCAGATGTTTTTATTTATTCATTTAAATAAAGTAATTTTTACTTAAGAAAACAAATAAATTTTAACTGAAAAATCACAGAAAAAAATAAATGACATTAGTTCTAAGAACACATTAGCAACGTGCTAAAACCTACCAGAAAAATCTAAAGTGCGTTCAGTCTTCGTTTGCTTTTAACTACAAATTCTTACTGTCGTCATGTAAACTTTACATGAAACATTTTGGTGAACTTCACTGAGCAGCATCATCTTAGCAGCTAAGCCCTAATTTCTGATGCTGGATACTGAGACTTCATCTCTGGGTGTCCACGGATGTGCCAGACTGTAAATGTGCTCTACTAAAGAGAGATATTGGCTAATGCAACATATAAAAAAGGTATCTCAAGTCTAAATTGTTGTTGTATGCCGGTCGTTTTCTGCCCTGATTTAAAAGATTGTCACCAGTCACAGAAAAACCCAAAGCAGCTGCAAACCTATAAACATCTGCAGTTCAAATGAAGACTCCAGCTGCAGCATCAACATCAAACTTCCCATTCATTTCTGTCCCTGTTCAGTTTCTTTATCTGTCTCCTAACTCGTCCCCTGTCTCCCTCCTCCTCTCTTTGCCTCACCCCTCTCCCTCTCGTGTCTACAGAAAAGCCCCGTGCTGTGCATCGGAGAGGAACAGCCCAAAAACTGCTTCACTGAACTGCAGGTGCTGAAAGGACATTTTGACATTGTTCGATTTCTGGTGCAGATTGATGACTTCAGGTGAGAAGACCTCAGCCCCTCCCTCCTCCCTTTACCTCTAACATCTCTACCCTTGGCTGGCCTCCATCCCTCTGTGATTGGCAGGAGATCCTCACCTACAGCAAACTTCCAGAGCATGACAAGAGCCCAATCATCACCAGCATGTGATTGTGTGCTCAGTCTGCGGTAAAACCAAAGCCCTTTAATGCTGTCTGCACACGTATAGAAAGGTTCTGCACCTGCTCTCCTCTTTGAGCTGCTGCTGCACCCGGGCATGCTACACTGGGCCAGTGTAAGTGGTCAGATTGGGATTTATAACACACCTAACTGTGTGTGTGTGTGTGAGAAAGTGGGGGCCACTTCACGCCTGGTCTCCTGCAGTAATAACCCCCTCCCCTCGGTCCCGTCCTCTCTGCACGCAGGGCCACAGTCGGGGGCAAAGGCCAGAAAATTCTCTCCATATTGCCTCCGAAGTCCGGGGAATGCATCCTGGACAGTTCATCTCTTTTCATTTAATCACTGTTTTATCTTTTCATCCTTTGTGTTGATTTTTGGGAACAATCGAGGTGGATGGTGCGGGGTCAAAGGGCAAGTTGAGGCGATGAGACCGGCACAAATGTTTTCTGAGATTCCGCAGAAGAAGATGAACTCACGGGAAATGACTCCAAACCAAACTGTAGGTTGTTGAGGTCTTTTTCTTTTGTCCTCCAGGTGTGCCTCAGCGGGTGATGACGGCCTTGTTTTGATCTGGAATATTGAGGTAACAAATTCAGAGTCCATTCTTTCTGTTTGTTCTGAAATCGCTCATCAAACTCTGACTCATCTTCATTCCTCTTCTTGCAGACTGGAGAGAGGCTGCAGGAGCTACGAGGTCACTCCCAGCAAATAACAGCCATAACCACCTTTGTTTGTCGGAGCGATGTTACGGCGCACCCCTCGCTCATTACCGCGTCCTCCGACCGAACTCTCAGTGTATCCTTAAAACACCCTGTTAAAACAACTTTTCACACATTTCAAACCATCACGGTGCTTTTCATTCAGCCGTGATTTTTCTTGACTCTCTCTGACAGCTGTGGGATCCTGATACAGCCAACAGGGTTCAGACCATCTCAGACCTTCAGTCTTCAGTGAAGGTAACCAAAGCCTTTTGAGCCACTTCTTCTGTTCACCAAAACCAGTTCAAAGATGTCCTAGAAGTTAAAAACAAATCTAAATCTCTGTAAACTAGTAAGGTTGTAATGAATCACAGAGAAATGATTCGGTCTGAGAAAAGCTGGTTCAACACGAGCTTAGACGCACACCCTTAAATTTGTATATGCCCCGACCATTAGCTGTATCTGTAATGGACAAACCCTCCGCGCCGTCACGCGCACGTTTCTGAAGAGCTTAATTGAAGCCCAATGGGCCATGTTACGTGTCTCATCGCTACCAGAAAATACAAAAAAAATGTAGCTGGGAGTGGGGCTGTGAGTGTGGGGGCAGATGATTGACACCCATCAAACTCTGAGATGTCGTAGCTACGAGCTAACTGAGCTTGGCGAGTGCTTTTAGCCAGAAAATCACGGTTGAGTGACTCTGCTACCCTCTGCTTTCTAGGCTGAGGCTTTCCCTGGACAAGCAGCGGGAATAGCCGCTAGTGTTGATGGCTCATTGGACACCTGTCAGTCAAAAGGACACGCCTCTATTTATTCATTTCCAGCTTTAACTACATCTAAACTAATGAGTTACAAAATCATTCACCCCTCTCAGAGTGGTCATGAACTAAACCTAGTAAACCCAAAATGTTTTTTTAAACCAGGCTGTAACCATGTTTCTTTCTGTGGTGAAGTTGGTGTTTTTAACATGGGAATCAATGGGATCTTGCTCCTTTTGGGAGCTAGCCCCTAGTGGATGGGAGGGGAACTGCATTTTTTGTCGCTTCTACTTTGGCTTCACTTTTGGAAGGCGCCCAGTCACAAAACGATGCTAGCCCAAGCTAAAGCTAATACTAGCCCCAGCTAATGCTAATGCTAGCCTGAGCTAATGCTAATGTCCTTGTTGAACGAGGGGAAAACAGTAACGTGTTATGGTCCAGGATGTAATTGGAATATCCAGACTTTGATTGAATGCCAGAAAGATTCACGGCTTGCCTGCTGGGTTATTCAGATACTGTTCACAGATTCAAATCCCACTTTAAAAAGGTTTGTAGGATTTCCCTTTTCCACCTTCTGAATTTAGCTAAGATTAGAAGCGTCCTTTCCCGGAGGAGTGATGCCAGTAACGCGTTGCTTTGTCCCTGGTGTCAGGCTTTTTACTGAGTTTGGATTATTTGACTCTGCACACGTATGTTTACATCCTCATGTGTATGGAACCTTCAGAGTGTCGTCACAGTTACGATTCAAGATAGAAACTGATAATTTACTTCTTGATTGCAGATGAAGGTTAATTACATCATCTGCAGGCTAATTACAGTTGATTCCTCATCTTCATTAATACTTTAAGAGCTTTTTAGTTGAGTGTGTGTGTGTGTGTGTGTGTGTGTGTGTGTGTGTGTGTGTGTGTGTGTGTGTGTGTCAGTGTTTACTAGTGCTGGAGCGGCTGTCTCTGTGGGTTTCTGGTGGAGAAGAGTTATGTGTGTGGAACAAAGACTTCCAGCTGCAGTGTCACCGACAGCAGCACAGCGACACCGGTGAGATGAAACAAACACCAGAATGGCTCTCCGACCCTTTGATGCTGCTCTTTTAAAACAAACTGATGAATGTTTTGTGTTGCTGCAGGAATCACAGCTTTGATAGAGCTGCCTAAGAACTGTCTAGCAGCAGCGATGGATAAAGAGATCGGTAAGAGGAAGGTTTAGATGGTGTGACAGGGATGGAGTCTTTGCTTTTATGGTGTAGATGTTTGGAAACCAGAGAAGCTGATCTCTAATGCTGCTTTATTTTAAGATTGTGTTGCATTTGCTGAGTGGTTCTTGCTAAAGCCAGTAGCTCGCTGGGCGTTTAGCAAGAGAGACAAAAATGTGCACATTTTAGTGGAAATCTCTCTAAATTAGAACTTATGCTACTTTTTATTCTTATTTTGTAGCAATTTAATCCAAAACTTTCCATGTGAGACCCGCTTCATCTTAAACGGTACATGTTGTGCAAATGGACATTATCTTGTTAGAGCCGTTTGAAAATGTCCCTTATTGTGACATCACAATACGGAGAATGAGCATAGAACCCCGGTACATCTGTCGACACTGGAGGAGCAGCGGCTTTACTGTGAGCTCCTCCTGGATACATAAATTCCTCATAGCAGCCAATCAGGTGAAGAATGGGCGTGGCCAGCAACAGCTTATTTTCATTTAAGTGACAGAGCCCTATTAAGGCTCATTTGGTAAGGTAATGAAATTGCCACGAATAGAGCAGGTGAGATAGGTTTATGAAGAGGGATTCCGTAAAGAACTTTATAAACATGTATTAACATACAGTAAGAACAAAAGTCATAATATGTTCCTGTTTGACAATGGCAAACGAGGGAAACTTCGCCGTGAATGTTGTTCAGTTTGCCACCAACAATCCCATTCCAGTGAGATATAGGCCCGTCCATCCATTTTCGTCTGCTTATCCGGGGTCGGGTCGTGGGGGCAGTAGCCTAAGCAGGGAGGCCCAGACTTCCCTCTCCCCAGCCACTTGGACCAGCTCTTCTGGGGGAATCCTAAGACGTTCCCTTTCCAGCCGTGAGACATAGTCTCTCCATCGTGTCCTGGGTCTTTCTTTAGGCCTTCTCCTGGTTGGACGTGCCCGGAAAACCTCACCAGGGAGGCGTCCAGGAGGCATCCTGACCAGATGCCCGAGCCACCTCGACTGGCTTCTCTGGATGTGCCTTAACCAACAGATTATTGTAGTAAATTTCAAACATCAGCCGCTTAACCAAACCTATGTGTAATAATGTACTTTTACAGCAAACAAATCTAAAATGTTTTGATTTAAATCTCTTAATTGTTGCAGTGATCCACAGACTCACCCTCTCTACCGACTCTTCTGTGTCGGTGTCTGAGATCCACCGTCTGTCTGAACATCAGGACCAGATCCGAGCTCTCATTAGTGTCAATGGTCTGTTTATAAAAACCCTGAATTTATATTCAAACTAAAGTTTTCTTTATTTGACTTTCTGTAAATGTGGAGACGTTATGCATTGTGGTTCCTCAGATGGGCTTTTTGCCAGCGGCTCTCATGCAGGCGAGCTGATCTTGTGGGATTCGATTAGCTGGACCACTCAGGCCACCATGCACATCCTGTGGGAGGAGTCCCAAGCCAGCACCCAGACTGAAATAAGACTCGGTGCTCAGAAACCCAGTGAGATGTCCATTCAGCATCTGAGCACCAATGGGAAGGTGAGATCAGCAGAAGGTGGGGCTTCATGTTTAAGTTGTGACTTGTGACTGAAACTGAACAGTGTTGGTTTTGCAGCTCCTCCTCGCAGCTGTGGGCAGCGGTCTGTATGTGTACAACGTTGTGAGCAGGACTGTGGTGGCCTACCGGAAGGCTGCTCATGACTCTAACGTGTTACACACCACGCTGCTGTCTGACAGGTACCATCCACACCAGGGGTGGGCAATCCTGGTCCTTGAGGGCCGTTATCCATCAGGTTTTACAGTCAGGTCCTTAAATATTGGGACATCGACACAATGCTAACATTTGTGGCTCTATACACCACCACAATGGATATCAAATGAAACAAACAAGATGTGCTTTAACTGCAGACTGTCAGCTTTTATTTGAGGACATTTACATCAGAATCAGGTGAACGATGTAGGAATTACAACAGTTTGCATATGTGCCTCCCACTTGTTAAGGGACCAAAAGTAATGGGACAATTGGCTTCTCAGCTGTTCCATGGCCAGGTGTGTGTTATTCCCTCATTATCCCAATTACAATGAGCAGATAAAAGGTCCAGAGTTCATTTCAAGTGTGCTATTTGCATTTGGAATCTGTTGCTGTCAACTGTCAAGATGAGATCCAAAGAGCTGTCACTATCAGTGAAGCAAGCCATCATTAGGCTGAAAATACACAAGAAACCTATCAGAGAGATAGCAGAAACATTAGGTGCGGCCAAAACAAGTTTGGAAGTCTTCTCAAAAAGAAGAAACGCACCGGTTAGCTCAGCAACACCAAAAGACCCGGAAGACCACGGAAAACAACTGTGGTGGACGACCGAAGAATCCTTTCCCTGGTGAAGAAAATACCCTTCACAACAGTTGGACAGATCAAGAACACTCTCCAGGAGGTAGGTGTATCTGTGTCAAAGTCAACAATCAAGAGAAGACTCCACCAGTGTGAATACAGAGGCTTCACCACAAGATGTAAACCATTGGTGAGCCCCAAAAACAGGAAGGTCAGATTAGAGTTTGCCAAACAACATCTAAAAAAGCCTTCACAGTTCTGGAACAACATCCTACGGACAGATGAGACCAAGATCAACTTGTACCAGAGTGATGGGAAGAGAAGAGTATGGAGACGGAAAGGAACTGCTCATGATCCTAAGCATGCCACCTCATCAGTGAAGCATGGCGTTGGAAGTGTCATGGTGTGGGCATGTGTGGCTGCCAGTGGAACTGGCTCTCTTGTATTTATTGATGATGTGACTGCTGGCAAAAGCAGCACAATGAATTCTGAAGTGTTTCAGGCAATATTATCTGCTCATATTCAGCCAAAAGCCTCAGAACTCATTGGACGGCGCTTCACAGAGCAGATGGACAATGACCCGAAGCATACTGCAAAAGCAACCAAAGAGATTTTGAAGGGAAAGAAGTGGACTGTTTTGCAATGGCCAAGTCAATCACCTGACCTGAATCTGATTGAGCATGCATTCCACTTGCTGAAGACAAAACTGAAGGGAAAATGTCCCAGGAACAAGCAGGAAGTGAAGACTGTTGCAGTAGAGGCCTGGCAGAGCATCACCAGGGATGAAACCCAACGTCTGGTGATGTCTATGTGTTCCAGTCTTCAGGCTGTAATTGACTGCAAAGGATTGCAACCAAGCATTGACATGTATAAGTTTGATTTATGGTTCTTATTCTGTCCCATTACTTTTGGTCCCTTAACAAGTGGGAGGCACTTATGCAAACTGTTGTAATTCCTACATCGTTCACCTGGTTTGGATGTAAATGCCCTCAAATAAAAGCTGACAGTCTGCAGTTAAAGCACATCTTGTTCGTTTCATTTGATAACCATTGTGGCGGTGTATAGAGCCAAAAATGTTAGCATTGTCTCGATGTCCCAATATTTATGGACCTGACTATAGTTGTTCCTCTCCTTAAACACACCTGGCTTGAATCTACCAGGCTGCTGCGGAGCCTGATGAGCTGCTGAACAGGTGGTTCGTCCAGGAATCAGGTGTGTTGCAGCAGATAAACAGCTAAAAGCTGCAGGATAGCGGCCCTCGAGGACCAGGATTACCCACCCCTGATCTACACTCTCCTCACAATCTGTGTGTGTGTGCGTGTGTGCATAGGACTATTGTAGACCAGTTCTAAAAAATTGACTGAATTGTAGCCATTTTGGTGTTTGCTAAGCTTGATTAGCTGTGGCAGCCATCTTGGAAAAAGTTAAACCAAACAAGATCATCACCTCCTAATCTGACGCCAAGGCTCTCGACTGGAAAAGGGTAGTAGCAGCATTAGGTCAAGGTCACATTTATTTCTAAAGCACACTTATTATTGCTTCTGCAACCCAAAGTGCTGTACAACACAGAAGATAAAATCGCAAACAAGTATAACTAAAAACCATAAAAATCAGCAAGTTAGGATAAAAACAACATTACATCACACAATTATAAAATCAATAAAAATCAGAAAGAATGACAATGACAAAATAAAATCATCCTACATAAAAGCCAGGTTGAATAAAAGAGTTTTAAGCATGCACTTCAATTCAAAAATACTTTATTAATCCCAGAGGGAAATTGATTGCTGTAGTAGCTCAGAATAATAATAATAATAATCAAGTCATCAAAGAGTTGTTGGATATTACAATGGCTGTTGGCAGGAAGGATCTCCAGTAGCGGTCAGTGTTGCAGCCAAACTGAAGAAGCCTCTGACTGAAGACACTCTTCCGTTGTCGGACAGTCTTGTGAAGAGAATGCTCAGGGTTGTCCATCATTTTCTTGATTCTCTGGAGAATCCTTCTTTGCATTATCTCCTCCAGTGGTTCCACACTCGTCCCCAGAACAGAACCAGCCTTTTTATTAGGCTGTTGAGCCTTTTCAGGTCCCTGCTTCTGATGCTGCTACCCCAACAGACGATGGCTGAAGAGATTACACTCTCAACAACAGACTTGTAGAAGATCTGCATCATCTTGCTACAGACATTGAAGGACCTAAGCGTCCTCAAGAAGTGCAACTTAAAGACATCCAGACTTTGTGATGTCCTGATCTGCAGAGGAAGACTGTTCCAGAGTGTAGGACCGGCCACAGAAAAAGCCCTATCTCCTCTCGTCTTTAGGCGAGCCTTTGGAACTGATAATAAAAACTGTGAGCCCGACCGCAAATTCCTGGCAGGAGTGTAGGGTGACAATAAATCATCTACATAAGGATGGGCTAGACCAAAAAGTGATTTATAAACAAAAAGCAGCAATTTAAACTGAATCCTGTAATGCACTGGCAGCCAGTGAAGGGAAGCAAGCACCGGAGAGATGTGATCATGCTTCCTTGTACCTGTTAAAAGGCGGGCTGCTGCATTTTGAACCAGTTGCAAGCGGTTTAAGGAGGAATGCCCTAATCCATAGTACAGGGAATTGCACTAATCTTGAAGACAAGAGACAAAGAGATGAATAACATGTTCAAAGACAGTTTCCGGCAAATAGCAATTTGCCTCAAGTGATAAAAACCAGACTGGACCACTGCACTTATCTGTCTGTCCAATTTAAATGAACCATCCATAAAAAAGCCAGGTCACATAAGGCTTTACAAATTCCGAGAGGGAACCAAGTGGGCTCACCGCACCCTTTAACAGGTCTCCACTGCCAAAAACTAAAATCTCTGTCTTCAGGTCATTCAATTTCATAAAATTAATTGACATCCATTGCTTCAAATCAGCTAAGCAGGCCATTAAAGAAACAGCTGAATCCGGGATGAGTGGGAGATATATCTGAATGTCATCAGCAAAGCAAGGAAAAGTAATGTTGTGTCTGGCGAAGATAGAGGACAATGGTAAAATATACAGTGAGAAAAGTGTTGGGCCTAAAATGGAACCTTGTGGAACACCACAAGTCACTGGTGCTGGTGGTGATGTAAAAGTTCCCAAGTTCACAGAAAAAGACCTGTCCTGTAGATAAGACTGAAACCATCAAGCACTGTGCCCCTTATACCGACACAAGACTCTGATCGAGACAACAGAATATCATGATCAATGGTGTCAAAAGCAGCAGATAAGTCTAGCAGCATTAAAGCAGCAGAGTTGACAGAATCAGTGATCATTAATAAGTCATTCACCACTCGTAGAAGTGCACTTTCAGTGCTACGCCGTGCTTTAAATCCCGACTGAAATTTGTCTGAAATGTGATGTGTGGACGGATAATCCTGTGCATGCACAACTTTCTCCAGAACTTTTGATAAGAAACTATGTTTGGAAATAGGTCTGTAATTAGATAGGCAAGTTGCATCCAGGCTTGGCTTCTTTAAAAGGGGATTCACTATAGCCTGTTTAAAACACAGTGGAACACACCCTGAGAGACGAGAACAGTTAATTAGTTTGTGCACAGCTGAAGCAACACTGTCAAAGGCCTGCTTAAACATACGAGGTGGAATAACATCAAGTGGACAGACTGAAGGTTTTAAACGATGGGCAATAACTGATAACTCTCTAAGGAGACAGGTTGAAACCAAGCCCCCACAATGCGGGTGAAAAATTGAGTCCAACGCGGAAGTGACAAAAATTGCAGTTCCACCCATGTTAAAAATACCAATTTCACAGCAGAAATAAACATGTTTACAGCCTGGTTCCAAAACATGTTTATGGTTTAAATGATCTAGTTTACACTCATGACAACGCTGAGGGGGGTGAATTTTTTTCTCACTCTTCTGTTTAAGTGTATTAAAAGCCTAAAATTCTGTATAATTAATGAGCATCAGACACACGTGACGACAGAGCTAGCTCCGTGGAAAGGCCTCAGTAGAGCCTCGGTCTGGCTTGGAAACTGCTCCGGGATTTTGAGTCTCTGTGTGTGTGTGTTCTTTTTTGGATATTTTTTGTGCAAATTTTGGACAAAATGACTTGCTGTGGCATTAATTGCACTAATAGAACATCCAAGGAGTCTCCACTTCATTTTTTTCGGTAAGTAAAATCATATTTATGTATTTTAGGTCACTGCCGAGCTGAGGTTAGATTTCAACATGTATTGTTTAACCATGAAATTTAAATGTAATAGGGTAAAACCCAGTGCATTTAACATAATGCTGCACTTTAGAAAATGGGTTGAAATATAACATGTTGGTGGAGCTGGGTTCCCACTATCGGCTTGTGGAGCTCTCGGGAGACCGATGTTTTCCACCCGGTTCTCCCCTCCCCACAGCTCAGCGCATCTGTCTGATCGCGGCTTCTGTGTGCTGCGCAGGCTGCCGGCTTGTGGGGCTCTGGGATGCAAACCTTTCCACCCGGTTCTCCCAGCGGCAGCTCTGCACATCTCAGATCGCAGCGGCGCTTGTCTGCTGTGCGGCTGCCGGCTTGTGGAGGTCTCGGAGACCTCTGTGTTCCACCCGGTTTTACCCAGCGGTCAGCCCGGCATATCTCTGACTCAGAAGCTCTGGTGTTGTCCACAGTTAACTCCAGTTGTAGCTAGGTTGCTACCCCCGTTAGCTTAGCTCCCTCCTCCGCGTTAGCTTTGGGTTAGCTTCAGGTTAGCTTGTAGCTGGTTCGACCGGGTGTCGTCAATTGATCCCAGCCTTTCAGGCCCACCCTCAGCTCCACCTCTCTTCCCTTTTGTGGAATTGTCTGGGCTTGACGGAACCTGTGACACGGTCAAAATGGCGGTGGTGGCCACCTCCCATTTTAGCTCAAAAACTTATTATTGGAGACTATGGAAACCCATTGTCCAATATTTATATGTCGATGGTTGAAACTGACACCAAGATGTTAAACAATCTGGATAAGAACTTGGATCTAAGATAGAGGATGTTAAAATGGAAGATCTAATCTGTGAAATCTTTCAGACAAAAAGCAGTCACAATTTTTGAGAAGGTATACAACTACTTCCAATGCTGGGGTTCACAATACTGTTAAAAGCACTAAACAAAACCTGCGGTCTGCGACTATTGGTGGAAACAAGGTTGCACATGAACTCAGATTTTGCCTGTTTCACACAGTTCTGATAAACAGTCAGTCTCGCAATGCAAGTAGAGACACATGTGATCGTGTGCAATAACATTTGTTTATTTATAACCCATTAGTTGGGTTCTGTGCCGGTGACCATTGTAAGCACAGAACTGGAGGCTATTTTCGTTGCCCCCTGCTCCCCTTTGGCTGTGGAGCCATCTCTGCCCCCTTCATTGTCAGTTTTGGTGAAGCCGACAATTACAAATTTGGGGGTCACTCTGAACGCTTTTTTTAAAAAGGATGCACAGATAAATCAGGTAGTCAGGTCGTGTTTCTTTCATCTTCGCCGACTGGCCAAACTAAAATCTGTCCTGAACAAAAAGATCTTCAGTCAGTTGTTCGTGCTTTTGTAACATCATGTCTGGACTATGCCAATTCTCTTTTATATGGTATAGACCGACGGCAGCATATTATCACCCCTGTTTTGGCAAATTTACACTGGCTTCCAGTTCGGTTTCGGATTAAGTTCAAAATTCTTCTGTTGGTTTACAAATCTATTCATGAAATGGCCCTCTCCTATTTGGCACATCTTTTGAGTCCCTATGTTCCGGCGCGAACCCTGAGGTCCTCTGACCAGCACCTTCTGCTTGTCCGTCCTGCCCGCTATATGGCCCGTGGCGAACGGGCATTTTCAGTTTGTGCACCTAAACTTTGGCACCAACTCCCCCTGACGGTCCGACTTGCCCCCTCCCTTCCAACTTTTAAAGAACGTTTGAAGACATATTTCTATTCCCTGGCCTTCCCGTCTGAGACAGTTTAACCCTTGTGCTTTCCTGTTTTTTTTTACTAGTTTTTATTTGTTTGATCTATTTTGGTGATGTATTGCCTTGTACAGCATTTTGGTTGGCGTTGTCGCCGTTTAAATGTGCTTTATAAATAAAGGTTGATGATGATGATGATGAAATGTTATTGCACATGATCACTGCTGAACAGTAAACGTGTGGTTCGGGTTTACAGGATCATCTGGTTTTCTGGTTGTTAACTACGGTGACAGCTCTGGGAAAGAAGCTATCCCTGAATCTATTTGTCCTGGTTTTATGTGACCCTGACTGTCGGCCTGACGGTAACGGGCCACACAGATGGTTACTGGGGTGAGAATAGTCCGTGATGATACTGCCTACTCTACTGAGGTAACGGGAGTTGGCAATGTCCTCCAGGCTTGGCAGAGAGCAGCCAGGGATCTTCTGGGCTGTGCTGATGACCCTCTGCAGTACTTTCCTGTCTGCCGCTGAGCACCCTGCATACTATGCTGTGATGACGTACGCTTGGTTGCTCTCCACGGTGACTGTGTAGAATGTGACCAGCAGCCTCTCCTTTAGGTCCTCTAGATTGTTCCTCCTGAGTTGAGAGGGGCATTTGGTGTGGATGCTTCCTGGACGCCTCCTAAGGGAGGTGTTTTGCTGGAGACCCTCAGGGCCGACCCGGGACACACTGAAGGGAATAATGCCTTGCGGTCCCACTGGTGGAGGTTGCTGCAGGGAGGACGATTTTGACCTGCTGTCGCCACGACCCAGATGAATGAATGAAAATGAAATGTTAGACAGCCATCTTGAATTGGGTTGACTCCAAAAGGTTCTCGGTGATAAACACACAGAGACTGAAGTCAGACTGGGTCCTCTGAAGGTGGACAATAGGGAGAACGTTCAGGAGAAAGTGGATCGTGCTCCCATTATTCAGCCTTACGTTGTTATAAATGTTTCTGAGAAGGTTGTTTAATGCATTTACCAGTTTGATCCAAAGGGAATCAGAGGGTTTGTTTGTTTGCATTGTTAAAAACATGGAGGGCCGTATGACGCCAGCAGCTCTGTTCTTTGCTGTTCTTGGAGCCTTGAAAGGGTTAACAACATATAACTTCCTTTTTTCAGTAACTTCATTCTGGCTTTCTTCGTCTCTAAATGAACTTGAAGTCTTGTTAGAGTTTTATGATCTGCAGTTTTACAATCAACACATTTGCTCTACAGGCTGAATCAGCTGCTTGAGATGGTTTACAAGCATGCACCCTGTTTGTCCACCAGAGGGCGATGTTTCCAATTTTTTTGTGTTGCAATTGAAAAGTTCAGTTTGTTGGCTTTCATTCACCGCAGGGGTCTCCAGCCCTGGTCTTCAAGGGCCACTACTCACTCTGCTTTAGTTGTTTCTCTGCTGATTCTCATCGAGCTCTGCAGAAGCCTGTAACTCGTCTGCTGATTAAAATCAGGTGTGTTGATGCAAGAAACCTCTGAAATGAGCTGGCTGGTGGCCCCAGAGGGCCAGGGCACATGCAGTTTTAATAACAGCCGTTTAATTCCTTTTATTAAAATAAATAATGCAGTCCTTAGAAAAGAACTGATTACTGTGGGAGTAATAATCTGTTTAAAGGTGTAATCACTAAGGAGTTAAATTCACATCCACGTAAATTTAGATGAACCCATCAAAGCTCATTTTTCTGCATCTAATGACTAACTGTGTAGAAACCTGGTTTAATAGTAATCTAATTGTCCTGAGTAATCCTTCTCCTCCAGCCAGAAACGGATTGTTCACTCCGTCAGAGCAACCCGTGTGTTTGTGTTTTCCGTCTCTGTGACAGCGAGGTGATGTCGTGCTCTGAAGATGGCAGCGTGAGGATGTGGGAGATCCAGGACCTGCCCTTACCTGCTGAACCAGCATCTGCAGGTTGAAACATAATTATTATTGTTTAAATTACATAATTTTTGTTTATCTTTATAGACATCTGTGGAAAGAAGAGCAATTTTAAAAACTCTTGAGTGTACAGGTGCAACCTAAGGTCCAAAAGTTCATTTATGTCAGTGATTCAAGTTAAAAGGTGAAACTAATAGATGAGACAGACTCGTTCCATGCAAAGCCAGATATTCCAGCCTGTATTTGTTAGAACTGTGATGATTACGGCTTACAGCTGATGAATATTGTGAAAAGGTTCAATATTCTAGACTCAAAGTGTCACAATCTAATCAGCTCATGAATCCAGACCACCTGCAAAGGGTTCCTGAGCCTGTAGATGGTCTCAGTCTAAACTGGATTACTGACATGAATGGACTTTTGCAGCATTTTCTAATTTTTCCAGTTTCACCTGTAAAAAGAAAAGAAAAACAACCTTCAGATACATTTTCTAATGATTTTTGACACAACATGGAACTATTTCTGTAAACATAACCTTCGTCTCCAGGGTTCTTTGGGATGTGGACCTTCGGACGGTCAAGCAAGCAGTCGGGTCCTCAGTCGAAGAAGGTTGTGGACATCCCTAACCTGAGGACACTGGAGCTGACTGGAGATCTGATTGGACATTCAGGAGCCGTCCAGGTAAGAGTTAGCGACGTTCCGACTTTACGATCCAAACAGGATCCCGTCTCAGTACCGTTTGTGCTTCTCTCAGATGTTTATCAGCTTTAAGGAGAAAGGTTTGGTGACCTGCTCGACGGACCATCTGCTGATCCTGTGGAAGAACGGAGACACTCAGTCCCGTCTGCGCAGCCTGGCGCTTTTCCACAAACTGGAGGAGAATGGAGGACTTTGATTCTGGTGTGTGTGTGTGTGTGTGTGTGTGTGTATGTGTTTTAAGTGATAGTCCACTGATTGTTGTTTACATGATGAACTAGTCATTGTTGGCCATTTTTGGAGAACAAGTATTTAAAATATTCGGTGCAAGGATGAAGGAAATCACTTTTTTGACAAATAAAATGTAATTTTTTGTTTCCAAACTAGAGCGTTTGAGTGGTGTAAGGTTAAAGGAGTTAGCACTGACGTATTTTGACATGTTTTTTTATTTATCACGGTGTTTCTATGTGCAGGAAAACAGAAAAGTCCTTATTTCACACTGAAAGCAAACCCTTTGTGCTGTTTTTATTGGATTAACAACCAGAATGTGGGTCTGATCAGTCGGTCTGCCTGTCGGAGAGGGGTGTGTGTGTGTGTGTGTGTGTGGGGGGGGTGTCTTCTTCACCTGTTTTTCCTCAAACTGAGCTTCAGTCAGGAGAATGAAAGCGGTCTGAAAGGACCACTAAACTAAAAACAGCCTCTCTGCTGATCTTTGTTGTGTTTTTGGAGTCAAACCAACGCCTTCCTTATCTAACAACCCAATGAATGGTCACGCTCAGATTTAAACAATAATAATGCTTTATTCATCCCTCACCATACATTTTAGTGTTTGACAGAAAACATCCAAACAATAAGACGTAACGTGGAAACGGCAGAGTACGGGAACGAGCATCAAGCTGTTAGAGCTCCTACGCTCGAGGCAGTGACATCTTTTAAAAACACTTGGGATCGTTGTCATGACCAGTAATCATACATCTTTTCTTAAAAATATATACTTTTTTACTCGTTTTAAATCTTTCTGATTGTTTTTCTTCTTCTCCTGTTTAGAAATGATACAAAACACAGAATTGGCACGTTGTGGGCCGTCGGTGTTACAGATGAAGGCTTGTGATGTCACCAACAGCTGGACTGTGTGGTTCTGCCTCAGCGGGCACGGAGCAAGGCTTAAAGCGACCGGCTGCCATGTTCCAGTCATGGCTGCGAGCAGAAAAGGCATGGCTGTCCTACACGTTCATCTGGAATCTGTAAAAATCTCTTCAGTTATAGAAATCTGAGTTACGGACTAGCAAAAAAATCCTCTCCGTGATCGGCAGCCGCAAAACATTCAGAGCCGGAGCCGCGTTTCGAGTCACGGGCCCTGAAATATTCCAGAAATCAACAACATTTAACATTCAAGTGACGTGACAAAAAGCAAAGCAGTGTTGGCAGAGCATTTACAAGAACAGCAGGTAGTTTTTAGTGTTCTGCAGCAGAAAGCAGACCAAGACAGGGACAGGTGAGAGGATTAAGGCGTTTCTTAAGACTGTGATCATCTATAAAGTGACTACATAGCTACAGTGAACACAGATGTGAGCGGTTCTATCTCCTAAATTATCTGAAACTAATACCAGCTGTGGAGCACATCTGGATGCCCTCCGTTTCACCCAACAGACGGAAATATCCAGACTTCTAAGACAAAAAACAACCTAAAACCATTTAAAAGCAAAATATTATATCGACCTGGAAAGGGTGGCTTGCCAACTCCGGGTCGGGAGAGAGGTCCTACCTCAAGTGGAGGAGTTTAAATATCTCGGGGTCTTGTTCACGAGTGAGGGTAGGAGGGATCGGGAGATCGACAGGCGGATTGGTTCGGCGTCTGCAGTGATGCGGACGCAGAGCCGATCTGTCGTGGTGAAGAGGGAGCTGAGCCAGAAAGCCAGGCTCTCCATTTATCGGTCGATCTACGTCCCAATCCTCACCTATGGTCATGAGCTTTGGGTAATGACCGAAAACAAAATTGCGGATACAAGCGGCCGAAATGAGTTTCCTCCGTACGGTGGCCGGGCTCAACCTTAGAGATAGGGTGACGAGCTTGGACATTCGGGAGGGACACGGAGTAGAACCGCTGCTCATCCGGATCGAAAGGAATCAGTTGAGGTGGTTTGGGCATCTGGTCAGGATGCCTCCTGGACGCCTCCCTGGGGAGGTGTTTCGGGCATGTCCTGCCGGCAGGAGGCCCCCGGGTCAACCCAGGACACGTTGGAGAGGTTACATCTCCAATCTGGTCCGGGAACGCCTTGGGGTCCTGCCGGAGGAGCTGGTGGAGGTGGCCGGGGAGAGGATGGTCTGGAGCTCCCTAGTTCGGATGCTGCCCTCGCGACCCGGACACAGATAAGCGGAGGAAGACGACGACGACGACGAATATTATTAAAACACATATGGCTTCTCTTCTTACTATTATTATCTTTTTATAAAAAGTAAAGAAGCCAAATAAAATAAAGCGTTTCAGTGATGATGGAGAATTAAGGCACCTGTCAGGGGCTCTATGTGCCTTGGATTAATACTGTGATGTGACTTAGGGATCAAGTCACTCCTGGACGTGGACACTTGAGACAATAAGTCTAAATCTCATGACAACAATAATTTACCCACTGACCACCTGCCATTTTCTTAGAGTGACCTGAGAGATCTTAGGATGCAAAAGTCTGTGTCTTCTAAAGGTTGACCAGTATGAGAGTCAATGACTGACGCCATAGCAAGACCCAACGGCTTGTATACAAACCAGATCGTTACCTGTAACTACACCAGTTAGTTATACACAAAATACCGACTTGTTCAAGGTTGGCGGGTACCTACGAGTACCTTTTACTCAACCGTCTAGAGTTTAAAAACGAAAGCCGTTACCAGAGGTGTGACCAAGTCACTGCTTTGCAAGTCACAAGTAAGATACAAGTCTTTCCAGTCAAGTCTTGAGTCAAGTCCAAGTCAAAGACAATCAAGTCCAAGTCGAGTCCAAAGTCAATTATGTGGAAGTCCGTCAAGTCCAAGTCCTTAACTTTGAATTTTCAAGTCATATTCAAGTCATCTGTCCAACTTCAATTTAACGATAATGATAATAAATAAAATCCAGAAATAAAGCTTAAAGCTTCATTTATTTGCTCAAAGCAGAAAGTGCAACTGAAACTGATTATAAACAAAGTGCTGCTGCATTTAGCAGAACAAGATCTAACCCAGAACCAAGAATGATTTATGATTTTTGTCCATGTCGTGCCACTTTTGCGCTAAAATATCAAATATGCTCAAGTCATCATCAAGTCAACAAATGCAAGTCGATTCAAGTTGCAAATCATTGGCTTTCAAGTCTGAGTCAAGTCGTAAGTCTTTATAGATTTGATCAAGTCAAGTCAGATGTCATTAAAATAATGACTCGAGTCTGACTCGAGTCCAAGTCATGTGACTCGAGTCAACACCTCTGGCCGTTACTACCTCCACACCGCTTTTGGGATCACTTGGAAATTCCATGAAAACACAAAATAAGCCTGAGCAGAGTTAGACATGTAATGCAGTGGTCTCTAGTATTCCTGAATGCTCCGCGCGTTTATCTCTGTGGGGACAAAAGCTCTGGTGCTCCTGTTTCAGGAACTATAAGTCTGAAGGAGCAGAAGACGGCAGGATTTGGTGTCCTTTTTCCTGAGCTTCGCATGTCTCGCCTCTGATTGGCTAACAGCAACACAACTCTACTGCTGACTGTTTGCTTTGCAACGTTGTTTTATCTCCACATATAACACAAGCCTGAAGGTGTTCTGCTGTGTGGCGGAGCTGCGAATGCTAACATTAGCTTCTACTAGCTGAGACGTTCTCTGCTGTTTCCCGGACGCTAAATCAACAACAGCCTTCCCCGTCGTGAGTCTAGATGGGTGAGTCCATCAGTGCTACTTTTTAGTGTGACGTAGATTTGCGTGACTTTCTGACTCGTCTATTTTCTATCAGCGGCTAATGCAGGAAACGGGGCAGAAGACTGTTTCCACGTTCATTAAACTCAGAGTGACTGATCGTATTTAAAAGGAACAAAAACGGTTTCCTAGTGAACTTGGTCTTTAAGATTTTAGAAGAAAGGATGAATGCTTTTAGCAAACCTACAAAACGGCAACAAAAACTATTCAAGACAACCAGAAATGAAGCGTTTTCTCTGGAGAACCAGCCGTTATTCAACTGGACCGCAGGATCAGGACACAAAACGCACATCCAGCGTTTAAAGCAGCAGCATAATCTGTGGAGATCCTCCGGGAAACAAGGAATGAAATCAGATTAGCTTAAATATGACAGAAAGGAAAACAAACACTCATCTTGTCTAATTAGAATCATAACTTCTAACTCTGCCCAGGTCTGCACATAGCCTGGCCAGCCACCCCCATGCTTCCTTATGGGAATAGTTCTCTGTGTAGAATTAAACAGAGGACGAGTCGGGCAGGCCAGGCTAGTCTGCACATCCTTTTCAGGCTATTTTCTTTTTTATGTTTTCATGAAGAACAAGAAACGTTGCAGAGTTTGTGCTGTAGCGTAGAAAGGACGGTCACTTAGAAGTTATCATAACGTTCCTTTCTGCGTCCTTTTGGGTCCCCAAAGGCACCCCTGGATGTGATGTTCCAGCCTGTTAACCAGGCCAGACTGATGCTGACTTATTTAAAAGATGACAATAATCCATGGCCTGGTGAATCATCCAATCCAAGTTCTAAACCAGAAAGTGACTTTCAGGATTTCTTATTTCATTTCCAAACAAAGAAAACCAATAAAACCTGCGTCAGATTCTTTGTCCAATGTTTTGCCACCGGGGGGGGTGCGTACTCGTCAAACTAATTGCAAATGCTTTTGTTTATATAAAAATAAAAGCAGTTTAAATCATGTGCTCAGTGACTGAAGGATGAGACGTTTTTTCAGCATCTGCCGAAATAAAAACCACGTAGGAGCTGAAACAAAACACCAAACTTTGTTCTGACCTCTATGAGGTCCAAGTCTTCTTCTCTAGCATCTCCAAACTGGATCACTTTAGACATTTAAAGTTTGAATAGGCTCTATTTCTTCTTTGTGTGTGTGTGTGTGTGTGTCTACAGTTTGTGTCCCAAAGCTCTGAATTAAACCCGATGACTAAAAAGCTCTAATACAGTGCAACAGTATTTGTTCAGCTGATGCTTTTGCAGTGCACAAAAGATGTGGCTGTGTAAGAAACTCAAAGTAACAAGGTGAGATGTTTTATGACCTATTTTTTTTAGCTACATAACTTTAAAATACAGCATTTTCTGCTAAGAGCAGCCCTTCTTTATCACCTTTGTTGAAAACATATGAAACCCGTGTAGTGGCTGCGACTCCATCCAACATGTTCGTCCTGCACAGGGATATTAGGGACTGGGCTTGTAGATATTCTGTTCGTGTCTCACACAGCTTAGTTCAAGCTGAGCACCTGCAGAAGAGCGTCTGGCTTTTGCCTCCCTCCATTCAAGCAATTCTTTTGCAAAAAGCTCACAAATAGGAAAATAAAGTGTGAAAAGCAAACAGCAAAATGGAACTCCTAATCAAAATGTCTCGATTAGCTAAAGTGCAGGTTTGTGGTACTGTATGGTAGATTGTCAGGTGAGCCGTGAGGTCCACAGAGCTCCATAAAGCCTCCAGATAACACACCTGTTCTCTGCCGGCAGAACGTCACGTTCTGCTAAAAGTTCACAGGAACACTGGAGAGAGCGCCTCATTGTTCATCAGTCACTGACGTCTCCTCTCAGTCCTAATGCCAGCGTGCTTTTCTCACCGGGAATAGCTGGGAGGGAACAGAGCTCTTTAAAGTCACGGCGGGAAATCGTTCCGAAGCAGCTGTGCCTCCAGAGTTTGCTCCGAGTGGTGGATGTAAAGAGGAGATGGAGGTCAGGATGGAGGAGGAGGACGCAGGCTCTTACACTTCCTCTCGTCCAAGTTCTTCCAGTAGTTGTAGTTCTCCGACAGGTGTTCTATCAAATTAGGGAGGCTGGCGAAGGCTGCAGGGACACAAAAAATGGCGAGGTTAGCAGAAGAAACAAAGTTTGGAGCATTAAAAGGAACATTTTTGTAAAATGTTGTTTTCTGAAACATGTAAAACTAAGTGTTGTGTTGACAGTCACAATAAAGCTCAGACAAGATAAGAATAGAGGTTCCCAACTCATTGTTTTAAAGTTGGAATCTTTAAGTCACTAATTATCATATGACTCTTGGTTGGGGCTCAAAATGGCCCAGGAGCCTCGATAAATGGCCACTTTATTGTGTACACCTGTCCAACTGCCAGTTAATTTCTAATCAGCCAATCACATGGTGGCAACTCAGTGCATTTAGGCATGCTCAACACGATTTGCTGCAGTTCAAATCGAGCTGCAGAACAGGGAAGAAAGGTGATTTAAATGTGATTTTGAACGTGGCATGGTTGTTGGTGCAGATGGGCTGGTCTGAGTAGTTCAGAAACTGCTGATCATCTGGGATTGTCCCACACAACCATCTCTAGGGTTTACAGAGAATGGTCTGAAAAAGGAAAAACATCCGGTGAGCGGCAGTTCTGTGGGTGAAAATGCCTTGTTGATGCCAGAGGTCAGAGGAGAACCAGACTGGTTTGAGCTGATAGAAAGGAAACATTAACTCATTAAACCACTTGTTACAACCAAGGCATGTAGAAGAGCATCTCTGAACGCACAACATGTCGAGTCTTGAGGCAGATGGGCTACAGCAGCAGAAGACCACATCCTGTCAGCTAATAACAGGAAACTGAGGCTACAATTCACACAGGCTCCCCAAAATGGACAATAGAAGATTGGAAAAATGTTGCCTGAACTGATGAGTCTCCATTTCTGTGACATTGATGGTTGGCTCAGAATTTGGCATCAACAACATGAAAGCACGAATCCATCTTGCCTTGTATCAACATTTCAGGCTGGTGGTGGAGGTGTAATGGTGTGGTGGACACTTTCTTGGCACAATTTGGCCTCCTTAGTACTAACTGATTATCGTAGCAACGCCACAGCCTACCCGAGTATTGTTGCTGACTATGTCCATCCCTTTATGACCGCGGTGTACCCATCTTCTGATGGCTACTTTCAGCAGGGTAATGCATCACGTCATAAAGCTCCAATCATCTCAGCCTGGTTTCTTGAACATGACGATGAGTTCATTGTACTCAAATGACCTCCACAGTCACCAGATCTTAGTCCAATAGAGCACATTTGGGATGTGGTGGAACGGAAGATTCACGTCATACATGTGCAGCTGACAAATCAGCAGCAACTGCATTAAGCTATCATGTCAATATGATCCAAGATCTTTGAGGAATGTTTCCAGTACCTTGTTGAATCTTTGCCATGAAGGATTAAGTCAGTTCTGAAGGCAAAAGGGGGTCCAACCCGGTACTAGCAAGGTGTACCCAATAAAGTGGCCAGTGAGTGTACAGTCCCATAATAAACTACAATGGAAAAACTGGTGTGACCCGCCCACTCAGCCATGACGTGAATATTTAATGAGCTGTGTGTGGACTGGAGAGCTTACCCTGATGGCTCTATGAAGCTGCCTGAAGCTAGAAACTCTGTACAGCCAAGCACAGCATCCACACAACTCAACAGGGCAATGTGGCAGAGGAGTCAAGTGCCCGCCTCGTTATCAGAGGGTTACAGGTTCAAGCACTGTCCATCGTAATTGTTGTGTCTTTGGGCAAGGCACTTTTCCTTTCCTTCTGGTGGTCTGAGGGACCAGTGGCGCTACCATCACATCTGTCAGTGCAGCTGTGGTTGCAGTGTGGCTCACCAGTGTGTGAATGTGTGTGGGTAAATTACTGTTGTGTTGTAAAGTGCCTTGGGGGGTTGATAACCCTAGAACGCACTATATCAAAAACAGGCCATTTGCCAATTAGCCAAGCTATGGATTTATTTGGGATTCATTTATAGTCAGGATATTCCCAATACAACATTTTTTGTTCCCAGTACGTTTTTTTGTTGTTTTCCTGTCATCCAAGAAGAAAACGAAGGTAGCAGAAGTCCGGACTAGCGTTGTTCTGCCATTACTAAATTACTAAGAAAGCAGGTAGGAGGCAGCACAGACTTTTTGGTATAGCAAATGAGACAGCCCAAGTTGCCTATATGCAACAACAAAGTAGATGTGGTTTAACATTCTAGCACCCCTTTAATGTTACACCACAAAAAACTTTATTTATAAAGGTAAAGTCCCATCAGTCATCACACACTGGTGAATGAAGTTCATCTCCACATTCGACCCATCCCCGTGGGGAGCGGTGAGCTGCAGCTGTGGCCGCACTCGGGAACTATTTGATGGTTTAACCCCCAATCCAACCCCTAAGGCTGAGTGTCAAGCAGGGAGGCATCGGCTCCCATTTTTAAGTCTTTGGTATGACCCGACTGGGAATTGAACCCCGAGCTCCCAGTCCCTGAACACAAAGCCACTGAGAAGGTTGGACAGAGGATGAAGTGCTTTTCTGCTCTCTGATCAACATCAAATCCACTGTGTTAAGTCATTTTAGGGATAACATTTCTGTGTACCATTTCAAAACAAACAGGAGTGGAAGGATTACAGAGGAAATTAGGAAAATAACACTTCAGCTAGAACCTGATAGAAAGTCGCTGCAGATCTGTGTTTCCACGAGGATGTGTGTGGTGAGTTCATGCTGAGCAGACGATGTCATACACACTCCGTCATGTTGCTCCCACATTTAAGGGGCCACAAGGTCTAAAGGTCTCCATTCTGTTCTTTCTCACACACAAAGCTTTTGCTCTGCAGAGTCTGAGTTGTTTACATCGTTATTTCCGGCTTGTTAACGACCGCACTGCATCTGTGACCCTTGGCGTGAACCCACAGCGACCCGGGTGAACTGAAACGACTGTATGTGTGTTTATATTTATGTGAAGTTCTGCTCCACTACTCATCCCTCCCCAGATCCAGTGATTTCAAACACACATCTCTTCCTCTATTTTCCCCAGCTTTCCCTGCACTGATGCTCTCGCAGTTCTCTCCCTATCCCTCTGGGATTTGGAAATCTTTCCGTGACATCAGAGCTGTGCTGACAGTAAACAAGTCCCCTATGGGGTCCATACTAAGACAGGAGTTAATTTTAAACATCATAATCATTTGGCAAAAAGAAGGCTTATTCGTTCAGTCTCAGTTGTTAAAAGAAACCTGAAACCTCGGAGATGACTCGATCAGTGGTGGGTCACCAAAAGCCACACAGGAGGTCTCGAGATGATTTCCTCAAATCCAAATCTAGTTGAAAAACAATTACTGAATCATGTTTCTAACATAATTGTTTAAAAAACGCTACTAAATTAGTAATATGAGCTGAAGCAGTTCTGTTCCAGGTCAGTTGTCAGATCCCGGTGATCCCGATGGCCAGCCCCCCCCCCCCCCCCCCCCCCCCCCCCCCCCCGACTGCTTCTACAGTTCTGATCAACTGAAATGTTTAGGGGCCGCCAGTTTCAGCACCTCAAAACACACGATTCCTTCAGGTGCTACCGTAAACACTGCTGCAGAATCAGTAATATCAATAATGGAGAATAAACGACGAGCAAATAAATAAATAAAAAACAACCAATAGGAACACTTTCTTGACTTTTTTCCAAGTGACTTTGGCAGCTGTGTTGGCAAACACTTACATTTGTGCAGTCCTCTTAAACAGATTTACAGCCTATGGTGGAAATGGACCATGAGCGGCATCGTCTAAGCAGCAAGCTGTATTCCAGAAGTACTCGGTGTACTAACCCCCAACCAAAGTATTTGGACACCGTGTTACTTTTAGTTCTCCGTCTATGTTGTTGAAATGCAGACAAATGCTTTCTGTGGTTCGAACTTAGAAAAACGTGTCTTAACTGATCAGCTTAGCGATGAGCGTTGGTGATTTGTCTTGTAACCACTGCTGTGAAAAAGATTTCATCCCTGCAGATTTCTTTTCTGTTTCAGATCAGCGAACCACTTTCAACACTGAGTTCAGCTTTAGCAGCCACCTCACCCAGACTAAATTACCATCAGACCAGTAGAAACAATAAACCACGTCAATAGAGCCTGTCTGACAACTTGAAGTAGGATGAAAATCTCAAAAAGCAGCACATCATGCAGGGCCGGATTTAGCCAGCCCTACAAAGGGGTGTGGGTAGATTATCGGGGGGGGGGGGGGCAGGTCTGGAAAATAATTTTTCAGGTGTCACATGCCCCCAAATCCCTAAAATGCATAGAAAACTATGCTATCATCATTACAGTTCTTCTATCCATAAATCTATCTTTTCCTCTGATCCATTCCTTACACTACCCTCTGCATTTACCCGGGCTTGTTCCCTATTGGGGCTGCATCCATCCATCCATCTATCTATCTATCCATCTATCCATCTATCTATCTATCTATCTATCTATCTATCTATCTATCTATCTATCTATCTATCTATCTATCTATCTATCTATCTATCTATCTATCTATCTATCTATCTATCTATCCATCTATCCATCTATCCATCTATCCATCTATCTATCTATCTATCTATCTATCTATCTATCTATCTATCTATCTATCTATCCATCCATCCATCCATCCATCCATCCATCCATCCATCCATCCATCCATCTATCTATCTATCTATCTATCTATCATCTGTCTGTCTGCCTGTCTGTCTTTTAACTTTTTAATGTATTTTATCTTTTTTATGTCTAATCTATTTTGTCTGTCTATCCTTCAGTTTTTTAATTGTACTCATATATTTTTATTTCTTTTTTTTTTAGAATTTTTGTTGTTTTTATTTCTTTATGGCTTTTATCAGTCATTACAGCATCAGCCGTCTGCTTTTCTGTGCAAAAGTCCTAACGAATGAATCCATATCTAGGCCTGATGTCATGGCCTTCTCGTGAGCCAGAATGACTACATTTCTTTTTCTCTCGTGTAGCGTAGTACGGCGGAACGGGGTAAGAACACGAGCCAAAGTGAAGAAAGAGCTCTCGCGTGATGCTGCTGATATTCCAATCACAAGGGAGGTCACATACATCTGATGGAGCTGAGGAAAAGCATTCTTATACCCGTGTAGATATTTGCAAACAGTGGAGAGGTCTACAAACTTTGTAAAAAGCTTGTTTTTCTTTGTCTTTTAGCAGCTGGTGCAGGTGTGCTGGTTAATGTCTCACCTTCCTCATCTCTCATCTGCTTCAAAGCCTGCAGAGATGCACTGACTACTTCTGAAGCACAGCACAGGTCAACAGAATGAGACTGCAGCATAGAATTGGCAGACTTCAAGGAACCCAGAACTTTTAGGATGAATTTTCCGATTTCAAAGAAATCGTGCCTCCTTAACATCGTCAACAGTCCTGATGCCTCTGTACAGATATCAACAGCAGCAGCTCTGTCCTCTGTAACCTCTGACAGGATACTCATGATAGCATCCTGATTCTCCACAAGGCACTTGGTCACATCATAGTGGCTTGTCCACCTGATCTCCAACAGTCGTTTCAGGGAGGGAACGTCATGGTTCTGTGAAACATAATGACGGTGGAAAAATGAGTGTAGACATCCTGAAAGATCAAAAAAGGTTTTTGCACATGGCGCTGCCTGCATTGCATGAACAACTGCCAAGTGCAGCTGGTGGTTGTAGCAGTGGATGTTGGGAATATCCTTCCCTACCTTCTTCTGCAGTAAGGCCTGAACCCCACCCCTGACCTCCATCATAGCACTGACTGATCATTTCAGCTGCACTATAGCTTGAGTCAGAGAGATGCTTGAGAATTTGGGTAGCAATGAATTCAGCATTTAACTCACTGAGGTCAAGCAGACCGATCAGGCGTTCCTCTGGAATGCCATTACAGACTAATCTAACTATGACTGACTGATTCTCCATGTTGTGGCCACCAGCCTGGCCACTTTGGATGCAGGAGCCAGGATCACCCAGCCCTGGTGATCAGCCTAACACCGCCCCTCCTCCTCCTGTCTTCCAGGCTGCTGAGGAGCACAGCTGAGAAGCCATTACAATCTATGGTAGAGGACCCCCTTGCCTGTGTCCAAGACAATTAGGACCCCCAACCACAGCTTCTACCTGCATTCACACATTAAAAGTGATGAATTAAAAACTTTATAGAGTTTTTACTGTTATACAGACCTTTGAGTTTACTATAGGGTGTGTTTTGGGGGATTTATGAATGCTTTTTTTACAAATATAACCTTAGAGACCTCATAGCTTCAGCACAGACACAATTGAGGGGACCTCCTTGGGGGGGTCACAGATGCAAGGTCCACTGGTTTACAATGAACACACCCTATCACGTGTCAGATGCGCTGCAGAAGTGTGTTGTTGCACCAATCTGATAAAGATAGGCTTGGGTTCTATTTTTGATGTTCCACACTTTCAGAACACATCAAACTCCACAGTTAAGGGTAGGGAACCATGGTCCTGGAGAGCCATGATCCAGCTTGTTTTAGAGGTTTCCCTGCTTGGACAAGGCTTTTGTATTGGCAGTAGAGAACCACAACATCATATACGACACCAACGTCTCCATCCACGGTTGTTACAGAGATCTTGTAATTCTCTGGTAAGTTTGTGATCCTGTGAGTCCAGCTATGTGGGTTGCTATGTAACGCTGGGGATTTACACGCTGCTGGGGTCATGATGAAACCGCATAGATGCTAAAATGCACTGCTCAGACATCTGGTGTAAACTGGGGGTCATTTGGGTAAAGTTAAGCTCAGAGTTCAAGATTCGACAGTTAGAAGAAGACAAGGGGGCAAAGGGGCATTATGGGAAAGTTCCAAGGCCAAAACCTCCATTCACAAAAAGAACACAAAGCTGTGTTGCAGTTGGATTCCCAAGACTACGAGGGAATGGGAAAGAATTTGGAAACTTTCAAACTTTGAAAATTCAGAAAAACACCATACCAACTGGCAAACATGGTGGTGGTAGTGTGATGGCCTGTGGCTGCTGATTTAGGACCATTTGATGTAATTGACGGAACCATGAATTCTGCTCTGGGAATATCTGACCTTTGATTTTGATGGGTTGTTAAGCCGGAAAACCATCTGTTAGTCGTGTTTCCACTATAGGAGGCCCAGAGATTTTTGGGAGAGAGCGATACAGTGGCTTGGCCCTATCAACCGTTGTGTCTCCATCCAAAATCAGACATTCCGTACTTGCTAAGATGTCAGCATTATTGTCGTTAGTTCTGCAGTGAGTGACATCACTGCTCGTCTTTCTTCCGGCTCTTGGAGAGTACAGACGCTTTATTCTCCTCTCCCTCCCTCCTTATCCCAAGGCTCTTTGTCCTGCCTGTGCACGGCGCTTTCTGCATTTTTTCTGGAAACTGGAAATTATTAAACATGGATCTGGTCAGTTGGTCTCTCAACGAGATTGACAAAATTTTTTCAATGATGAGAATGGGAGAAGGGGCTCCCGGATGCCCCTCTGGGACAGAGCCAGCTGGGCATATCATGGAGTCCTGGAAACAGTGGAACCTGATCTGCCTCTCTCAACTGCCTGTAGAGGATTCTGAAGATGTCTGGATATACATTGTTTTGGTGTCGGGATTCCTGCTGTTTGGCCTGAGCGGTTACCTGGCTTACTGGAAAATTAACGCGCTTTCGAGGAATATTGGCTCAATCCCGGAGCTCAGGGATGGAATGCATCGCGCTGTGAACTCACAAACTCAAATAATTGTCGAGATGGTTCATAATCTTGGAACTTTGTCTGAGATTCAGGCGCTGGCACAAAAGGTGGATACCATCAAGGAGCAAGTGGACGGATCAGCATGGATTGGGATTGATTAACTACACCATTATTGGATCTAGAGGGGTTGAGGACCAACAGAACTTTAAGACAGAGAGGAAATTATCTCTGTCTGTACCCAAAACAATTATTATCTGAATCTGGCGCCCTTGGAGCCTGTGAGGCTGAAGTGTAAACATCCCTCAGAAGAAATGTGGAATGCTGCCGTCGCTATGGAAACTCTTTCTCCCTATCCCAGCCTGGGCAGGACTGTGACCGGTGAAGGCCATGGAACCGTATCTAGGAGTCAGTGAGTGCGTTTACATGCAGCCAGTAACACTTTTAAAACCCGAATATTCACAATAACCCGGTTCCGCACGGCCATGTAAACACCGCCAAAAACCCGGATATGCTCATAATCGGGTTTTTAAAAACCCGGTTACTACACCTGGGGTAACCCTTTTCTAACCCGAATGTTTGGTCGTGTAAACGCATATCGGGATATCCCCATCAAAGTGTGTGTTCTGCGCATGCAATGTTTGCAAGGAATCTTGGTCTTTTGAGTAGCGAGACGTCTTGTATGCGCCAGAACACCAGAAGTAAACAACAAGTTGGGAGCAACATGGCGAGTCGCGGCACAGCACCACACTTTTGGAGTGACGAGGAAACTAAAGCGCAAACAAACGCGGTCACTATCTCTTCCGAACTGGGAAACACGTTGTTGTTTTCACGGATACCTGAACAAGAAGAACCGGAAATTACGCATATTGCGTCTGGACGTAGTCCATACGTCCTGAAGCTACCCCAACGTCTGCATTTAAATCGGGTTATGCAAGTTAGAGGTAACTCTTTCTATTTATGCTTGTAAACGGGTTATGCTGATCAACTCAGAAACCCTAATACCGACCTTAACCCGATCATAACCCGGATATTGGCTGCATGTAAACGTAGTCACTGTGCCCTCTAACCCATTATCTCCCTCCCCCGTCCAAACGGAGGTGATGAGCGCTGCTCCATGCGGCTGCACGCACTGAAGTGAGGAGAGTCCCAACCTACCTCCCCACCTAGTGGACACTTATGTTGTATAATGTCTGAAGTCTGTGTGCATATCTGTCTGAGGTGTTTTTTTGCATAGCAAAGCTATCCTCTCTGTGGAGGGTAACTCTGAAGTTCCTATTTTTCGCTCCCCCTGACTCTATCCTCATATAAACCCTCTTGATCTATAATGGTAGCGCGACTCGTGTTGCGAATGACCACAGTCACTGATTCTTGTCATGTGTCTATGTCTGTATGCCTGATCTTGGAATTGTCTGCACTGAAACAATTGAATTTCCCTCTGGGATTAATAAAGTATTTTTGAATTGAATTGAATCATTTTGAGGACTGGGAGAGTGGCTGTGTGAATGAAAAAGCTGGTTTAATGACCAGAAAAAGCACCGTTGTTTGCGGTGCTCCGTGAGACAACAAAGCACCGGCGTATGGGTGTGTGTGTGTGTGTGTGTGTGTGTGTGTGTGTGCGTGTGGTGGTGGTGGTGGTGGTGGTGGTGGGGGGTCTGCCACATTTGGACGTTTAGAAATGGCGATGTGAAAGCAGCACAAACGTTGCTTCACCCGCAGCTCTTCTAATTTCACAAAGTTTGGTGATATCTGCTGATGTCACTTCCTACTGAGTTACAACCAATCAGCCGAAATCACCAGAAATCCCACTCAATGACTCACCTCCTTTCTGAGTATCCCCAGCTTAGGTACTCTGCTGATTTCTAAAAATGGTCCTTCGTTCCAGTCCGCTGACATGCAGACACGCTGTGAAGTTCTGGTCACATGACCGCAAAGTTCCGATTGTGGAAACGCACCTAATGTTTGCTGATTTAAAACAACTCTTTAAAGAATAATGGGACATATTCAACAACTGTGCATATCTAATCTCAATCTGTGACCTTCCTTTCAGAGAAAATTCACAAATCACTCCGGCTAACACAGCAGGACGCTGACCCCAGTGATCACAGAAAAGAACAAAGTACTTGAATGACATGAAGACAGCTCTGTAGGTGAAAAGAGATCACTCAGCTTTCATGGAAACGACCAGAATAGAAGCGTCACCAAGTAAATTACTGCCTCTGGAACAAAATAAACCTTTTTTTTTTTTAGACTGATCTCAATTCATGAGCCTGACTGTTTACTCAGACATGTTGATATATTTTAGGAACACAGCAGCCTAACTGAACAGCTTCCATCCAGAAATACTCGGGGAAATGTGGCTCTTACCATCCCAGGCGTCAAACATATCTGTGATGAAGTAGTCTATGAAGGAGATCTGAGATTTGGGCACGCTGCAGGTGTTCCTGTCAAATACTGGCATCACCACGGGCAGCCCTTGTCTTTTCTCCTCATCTGTCTGCAGGAAGTCACACAGAAAAAACTTTGTGTCGCGTACACGAAGCAGTAAGCTAAAACAATGCAAACGGAAACAAAAGTGGTCTTGAAAAGCCTTCCTCCAAACCTGTGCAAAGTACTCCTCTGAGATCCGTCCAGCCCACTCAATGCAGAGCTCTAGTGGCCTGCAGGGGTTCGCCACATCCGCACACTTGATCAGCATCCGCTTGATCAGCAGGCGGTTCTCCGGAGAGTTTCTGATGTTGGTCTGGCTCTCGTAGTCGCTGTTCACACTCTGTTGTGGAAGTAACGGCAGACATGAGCATCTGTCCAAACTCTCACTGCTTCACACAGCGATAAATAACTTTCGTTGGCGTTTCTGTAAATGTTCCGTCAGTTCTTAGAAAGTTTTAATAAAATAAATTTTTTTGTCACAAATTAAAAAAAATAAACTAAACTTTTAAGAGAAAGCTGTTAGTGTCTGCAGCCCTGTTCACACCGACATGCCTTCGAGTTGGACGACTCGTGCAGACGTGTGATCAGATGCACATTGGGATGTAAAAGTTCATCTTCATGATTTTCCTGCATAAATTATTGTTTGTTCCAATAAACATTTTCTGTTGAATATATCATATAAACACACACAGTGATGTTTGAGAGGTGAAACAAGGTTTGTAGGATTTACAGAAAGAGTGCAATAAGTGTGTTTTAAGTGTGGACTGTTCACACTTATAAAATCCCAACAATCCCTTTAAGTTTGCTGCTTAATCAGAGGAGCAATCTGGGGTGTGTGTGTGGGGTGGGGTGGGGGTGGGGTTGTTGTTGTTGGTGAGAATAACAAAACAAGATGGCAGCGTTTAGGTGAAGCGGTTGCGGCATTTCTTTTTTGCATGTTCATATGTGCTTTTTACAATTTAGAAATATGCTTCTCTTGTAAAAAATCTAAACTTGAGTCACTTACACTTGTGCTGGTCTCTTCTATGGCTGCTATGGGTTTGTTGATGCTGTTGACAAACTTGCTGACATGCTCAAAGTGTCGAGTCATTTCTGTGGCCAGAACCATGTCAATGATTGCCTGTCGCAACGTTCGAAACTGATTCCTGTGAGAAAGGAGGAGAGGAGGCAGGCGTTGCAGATTACCAACAGTTGAAACCTACCTACCTGGTTACTCCACACACGTATTTCATGATCATTTTTTTACTCAGAAGTACCCCTGAAGTTGTTCGTCCTTTTATCAAAACTTATTTTTAGCCCGAGAGGGTTAAAGGTCTTCTGGCTGAGTGCAAAACCAAATAACTGAATCCAAGTTTGAACTGAAGCAGTTTTAAAATCCATCCATGCATTTTTGCATAAATAATAAAAAAGATACACAAATTGTGTTTTAAATATGCTGCTGTCATATTGTTGGAGAGTCGATGTTTGACGGAAATAAGTAGAGAATTTTGAACGATACTTGCTTTTATTTGGAAAACATGACTAAAGCCCTTTTCAGACAGACATTCTGGAACATTTGTGGACAATTCAATCCGGTTTTTAACCGGAACTGTGTTTTCAGACACACCACTTTTGTACCGGAACTTGTCCTTTCGGCTGCGTTCACACAGCAGGGAAAAGTTCCAGATGTCTGACGGGGGGGGGGGGGGATCGGACTCATGTTAAGAAGAAGAAGAAGAAGAAAACATCTTTTCTATAGCGCCTCTCAAGATAAAAATCACGAGGCGCTTAAGCATAATTCTGCGCACACGAAGACGCATAAGAGACCTGGATGATGAAGCTCAATGGTTAAAGGAATCACTGAAGCGGTGTGAAGCGCTCCGTCGCGCGTCTAGGCGGTACCGTAGGAGGCGAGCTGCCGTGGTTCGCCGCATGCTACAGCAGCGGGCTATCTGGGTGCGCAAAGCGTCCCCCGGTCCCCTCCCCCTCCCTCTTGTCCGGAACTTTACCTCACCAGTCTGAATCAGCCACCCTGTCCGTAACAAGTCCGGACCTGTGTTACTAGGGGCTTCGTCCGGATAAATTCCGGAACACCTTATCCGGATGTTTGTATTCAGACAGAAAGGTCTTACGGACAGATTCCGGAACATTTCCGTTTTTCATGGCCTGTAGGAGCTGGCCCAAGTGGCTGGAAAAAGGGAAGTCTGGACCTCTCGGCTTAGGCTACTGCCCCCACGACCCAACTCCGGATAAGCGGATGAAAATGGATAGATGGATGGATTTTCAGTTCTTTCCAGAATGAGTCATTTCATGACTAGGACAAGCTGCAGCTGGACATGCCCACCCACCCCCTGCTCAGGCTGCTTTAGGTTGAGAAGCTCCAATATCGAGGAGGGGCTTGGGTAGAGCTGCTGCTCCTCCAGCAGCAGCTCTCTCTTGCGCGTGAGAAGTGGTTCTACTCTAATTTCCCCATTTGTGACATCAGAAACAAGGACTGTTGTTTTAGGAACACTATACCTAAAACCAAACACCAACAAAAAGTGGATTGGCAAGTTGATTTCATGTTTGGTTTAGGGTTAGGGTCATAGAGGCAAAAGGACTACTTACTCATTCAGTTTAACTTGGTATTTTTTTATATAACTGACAAACCAATGAATCTCTTGTTTAATATGTTACACTAAGGCATCTATTTATCAGAAACATGAGCTGACTCCACCGACCTGTCGATGTTCTTGAAGATGTTGCTCTTGCTGTCCCGGACGGTGAGCTGGAAGGCGAGGGCTGCATGGTGGCTCTCCAGCACGGCCGTGTCGTTGTAAAGGATGGCCAGTTCACTTCCTGCATTACACAGGAAGGAGTTGGTCCTGCCTGGGTGGTCCACGTCGTGGACTGTGGCTGCTATCAGAGCCGCCACCTCATCCAGCTGTTCCAGATGGCTCTGGAAATAAAAGCAAACTTAAGATTACAGATGGATCTACACAAAACATCAGTGTTGGTTTAGTTCAAACCAGTAATAAAATGCACTGATTCATCTACGGTCTCATCACCTACGCATCTGTTGACACTTAAATGTTTACTTTATTTTTTGCATATTTTAAGCAGAAATATCTCCCCTGCTGCCCTTTTCTACAAATAAAATCGGTCCAGATAACGAATAACTTTCAGAGATCTCATAAATAACATGGATTTTGAGCAATGCGCTGCCTGAAACCACTGTATATTCTCTGTTTGTGCTTCTGCTTGAGTAATTTACCCTCACATGGCTTTAGTCTGAGCTAGAGGACGATGAGCATCAGCTGTTAGGACCCTTGTCCCCTGACCAGTTAGAAACAGCACCAGGCTGGGAGCTGAACATTTACCCAGGGAAGCAATTACAGTTCCCAGAATCTGCCGCCACAACAACACTAAGGCCAGACAGCGTGTCGATCTCAGAAGTCTCCAAGAACATTTGCTTACTGTTTCCTGACAGGATTCATTCAGTGAGCTAATAAGGGGCTAGCCTGAGGGTAGGAGAAGATGTAAATGCTGAAATGAGAGGAACCTACTGGGGTGGAATGTGAGAGTCTGTGGAGGACCCACAGCATGTTCAGCCACAATGTGAAGGGCCATCGAGGGCCACTGTGTATTGAGAGAGAATTGTCTCAAGCAGACTTGGTTTGCCAAAAATAGTGGATGCTTCCTGTTACCTTGACTCTTTCTTTGCGTAGGAAGTAGGCCGTGGCATGCAGAACGTCTGCAGCGTGCGTGGAGTTGTGGTAGGAGTTGGAGGAGTGATAGTTGGCCTCGATGAGCTGCAGCCAGGAGCGCAGTGTTGCCTCAGAGCAGTTCAGGAAGTCACACACTCCGAAGGTTGTGAAGATCTTCAACCCAAGGTAAGTCAAAGGTCTGCAGGGAGCACACAGTCATTAAAATAACTCACAACCTCCTTTAGTTTCATTATTTCCCTTAAAAATATCTATTTCTTCCTGTTTTCAGTCGATTACCCATGCACACACTCATTCACACGCTGGTGACAAAGAGCTACGATGTGGCCACAGCTGCCCTGAAGCGCACTGACGGAAGTGAGGCTGCCGAACACAGGCACCACTGGTCTCTCCGGCCGCGCCAGCAGGCAAGGCGAGTTACGTGTCTTGCCCAAGGACACAACAGCAATGACAGATTGAGTGAGACTCGATCCTGCAACCTTCTAGTTATGAGGTGGTCACTTAACTCCTCTGCCACTGCCGTCCCAGGTTATTAAAAAAGAGTTTCTGAATGAAACCATCCCTAAAATAGGGCTATGCAATCAATCAGATTTGTATTTCATTACTTATTTTGGGTCCAAACGACCACAAAGTCAATGCAATAAAAAATAAAACAATCACGCCACTTTGCATGAATACTCTTGTTTTGTCTTTCCTCCTGAATAACGCAGACTTCCGTCCCTTCTGAAAAATATGATAAATGATAAATGACCCACACTTGTACTGCGCCTTTCAGAGTCAAAGGACTCCAAAGTGCTTTACACTACAGAGTATCATTCATCCATTCACACACACATTCACACACTGATGGTGATGAGCTACGATGTAGCCACAGCTGCCCTGGGGCAAACTGACAGTGGTGTGATTTAGGAAGTCTGAAAAAATTAAATTGCGTCAAGGTGGCACGGTGGAGGTAAAACACACCAAGGTTGCACAAAAGAACAGCAGCTTTTATTGTTATTTAAGAATTTGTTCTCATTATGTAGTCGCATCTGGAATCACACATTTCAATTCATTTGGATTCCAATTAAGAGAGGAGAGGAGAGGAGAGGAGAGAAGAGAAGAGGAGAGGAGAGGAGAGAAGAGGAGAGGAGAGGAGAGAAGAGAAGAGGAGAGGAGAGGAGAGAAGAGGAGAGGAGAGGAGAGAAGAGGAGGAAAGGAGAGAGGAGAGGAGAGAAGAGAGGAGAGGAGAGAAGAGGAGAGAAGAGGAGAGGAGGAAAGGAGAGAAGAGAGGAGAGAAGAGAGGAGAGGAGAGGAAAGGAGAGAAGAGGACAGGAAAGGAGAGAGGAGAGGAGAGGAGAGAAGAGGAGAGGAAAGGAGAGAGGAGAAGAGAGGAGAGAGGAGATGAAAGGAAAGGAGAGAAGAGAAGAGAGGAGAGGAGAGGAGAGAGGAGAGGAGAGGAGAGGAGAGAAGAGGAGAGGAAAGGAGAGAAGAGGAAGAAAGGAGAGAGGAGAGGAGAGGAGAGGAGAGGAGAGGAGAGGAGAGAAGAGAGGAGAGGAGAGAAGAGGAGAGAAGAGGAGAGAGGAAAGGAGAGAAGAGAAGAGAGGAGAGGAGAGGAGAGGAAAGGAGAGAAGAGAAGAGAAGAGGAGAGGAAAGGAGAGAGGAGAAGAGAGGAGAGGAGAGGAGAGAAGAGGAGAGGAAAGGAGAGAGGAGAAGAGAGGAGAGAGGAGATGAAAGGAAAGGAGAGAAGAGAAGAGAGGAGAGGAGAGGAGAGGAGAGAGGAGAGGAGAGGAGAGAAGAGGAGAGGAAAGGAGAGAAGAGGAGAGGAAGAAAGGAGAGAGGAGAGGAGAGGAGAGGAGAGAAGAGAGGAGAGGAGAGAAGAGGAGAGAAGAGGAGAGAGGAAAGGAGAGAAGAGAAGAGAGGAGAGGAGAGGAGAGGAGAGGAGAGGAGAGGAAAGGAGAGAAGAGAAGAGAAGAGGAGAGGAAAGGAGAGAGGAGAAGAGAGGAGAGAGGAGATGAAAGGAAAGGAGAGAAGAGAAGAGAAGAGAAGAGAGGAGAGGAGAGAGGAGAGGAGAGGAGAGAAGAGGAGAGGAGAGAAGAGAAGAGGAGAGGAAAGGAGAGAAGAGAAGAGGAGAGGAGAGAGGAGAGGAGAGGAGAGAAGAGGAGAGGAAAGGAGAGAAGAGAAGAGGAGAGGAGAGAGGAGAGGAGAGGAGAGGAGAGAAGAGGAGATGAGATAGAAGAGGAGAGGAGAGGAGAGAAGAGGAGAGGAAAGGAGAGAAGAGAAGAGGAGAGGAGCGAGGAGAGGAGAGGAGAGGAGAGAAGAGGAGAGGAAAGGAGAGAAGAGAAGAGGAGAGGAGAGAAGAGGAGAGGAGAGGAGAGGAGAGAAGAGGAGAGGAGATAGAAGAGGAGAGGAGAGAGGAGAGGAGATAGAAGAGGAGAGGAGAGATGAGAGGAGATGAAAGGAGAGAGGAGAGAAGAGGAGAGGAAAGGAGAGAGGAGAGGAGAGGAGAGGAGAGAAGAGGAGAGGAAAGGAGAGAAGAGGAGAGGAGAGGAGAGAAGAGGAGAGGAAAGGAGAGAAGAGAAGAGGAGAGGAGATAGGAGAGGAGAGGAGAGAAGAGGAGAGGAGATAGGAGAGGAGAGGAGATAGGAGAGGAGAGGAGAGAAGAGGAGAGGAGATAGGAGAGGAGAGAGGAGAGGAGATAGAAGAGGAGAGGAGAGAGGAGAGGAGATGAAAGGAGAGAGGAGAGAAGAGGAGAGGAGAGGAGAGGAGATCTTTATTGTCACTACTACATAAACAGTGAAAAGCAATCCTAAAAAAAGTCTAACTTCTAAAAATTATTAATCCTCCTTAAAAAACCAAAAACATTTCACGGACACTTCCGCTCCTGCAACAGCTCTGCCTTTTATAGCTTCTCTGTTTGATCATGTTTTGTTCAAGTGAATGAAACTCCACTTTCCACCCATGAAAACATGCAAATGCTGTTTCAAAACATCTATTAATGCCACAACTTAAATAATGCAGAACATTTATTAGTAATATGTTCAAATAATAAACTGACTGTGGGAGCCAGGGTGGCACTGTCCCGGTCGGGTCAAACCAAAGCCTTAGAAAAATGGACCCCAATGCCTCCCTGCCTGACACTCAGCTTTAAGGGGTTTGATCGGGGGGATTAAACCACCAAATAGTTCCTGAGCGCAGCCACAGCTGTAGCTCATCGCTCCCCCGGGGGTTGGGTCAAATGAGGAGGACAAGTTTCACCACACCAGTGTGTGTGACAACTGTGGGACTTTAGTCTTTACCTTTTGTGTGTGGCTGCCTCCAGCTCCAGGATGTTGAATTCCCAGTGTTCCTCATCATTCAGCATCTCAGCGATGGATGGAGGAATGTCGTTTAAAGTGACTGGGATGGCCAACTGGCTCTGGCTCAAATCTAACAGGCAGAAACACATTAAACACACACACACACACACACACACACACACACACACACACACACACACACACACACACACACACACACACACACACACACACACACACACACACACACACATGCACTTAGACAACACATTTTGTTTTAGCAAATTTCTTTGTTTTTACATTAAAACTTACTTTTGTTAAAAACATATTCATTCCCAGAGAGTCGACGTAGTCCGTCCTGGAAGACAAAAGAGAAGAATGTTTCATTTTTATGTCCATAACAGTTAAAAATTGTTTTATACATTTTCCTTTAAAAATCCCTCTAAACACCACAATCACAACAATGTTTTTATTTAATCAAATTCTCAGAATCCAGCTTGAGCTCTGACTTCTGGGTCAAGTGAAAAAAGGCGCAAAGCAAAAGTTTAAACAGGAATTATTATCTGATCTGTTGCAGAAAGCTCTTTAGGTCATTTTGGAGAAAGGTATTTCTGATCGGACTGATAAGCTAACAGCTAGTTTGAGCACGGCCATGACCAAACTGAGTTTCTGCCATCTTAAAGCAACTACAAAATGTCAGAGTGCAAAACCAGTTTTACAAACCTTTACAACGCAAGAGGCTTTACCCCCTAAGTCCACCCAAACTAAACCTGCTTAGAGCTGCAACTCCTAAATAAGCTTTGGAAAAGATTGTTTATACTTTAGATAAATGTTTACGCATGAGGATTATGGCCACGGATAAAAAGTCATTTTGAAATGTAAGAATTCTGAGAAAGTTACTAAAGTTTTTTCCACTTCTGTAAATATCTCCTATAAAAGATTTGTTATCCTTTTTATCATTATTAGGTTTTAAAACTAAACCCAACAAAAAATAACTTTAGAAAAAAAAGAGTATGGACTTTTCCTGTAGAATGTTGATATTTATGGTAAAGACGTAAAAAAATAGAAACAGATCTAAAATATTACAGGTACTTTTAGTGTCACTTCGCTCTCAGACTGCAGGTCTACTGGTGGTTCCCAGAATATCTAAAATTAGGATGGGAGGCAGATCTTTTAGTTATCAGGCTCCTCTCCTGTGGAACCAGCTCCCAGCGGGAGTCATTTTAAGGGAACTTTGTGACAGGCCAGCCAAAAGGACCCTTTTCTGGAACCAGCGGAGTACCTGAGCAGGAGTAGGTGCTCGGTTTTGGGAGTCGCGGATTGGTTGTAACCCTGTAGGTAATGGCAGACGGAGCCAAACCAGCCAGCATTTGTAAAGCTGGAAAAGTCGCTGGTGACACAGAGTAGAAAGGAAAACGAGTAAAGTTCCTTTCTACTTGCTTTGAAATCTCCATTCCTAAACTCCCAACACCAAAGAACGCGGCTGAAATCCCCTCAAAATGAAACGATTCACGGGGCTTTGTTGTCTCACAGAGCACCGTAAAAAAACAACGCTTCTTCTGGTCATTGAACACCACATCTCACATCATACATCTGCTCTCCCGATCCTCTGAATGGATTAGATTACAGCACACTTAATGTACGGCACGCAGCTTAATGTCTTTTTTTTTCACTGATAAATGACGTCACCCACTGCCAAAGTAGTCGCGATACGCTGACCTATTAGTAAAGTCCTGAAAGGGCTGAATTTGTATGACGACACAGCAGCAGAGAGCACTGAGCCATTGTCTCTTCCTGTCAACGTCCCCCTTCCTAGAAATTTCCTGGAACTCCTGCTGCGGATTAATGGCTATTATGGATGGCCCAAAGAGCCGTTTTGGGCTCCAACGCTGCAGGTTGATTAAAAAAATGGATTAAAATAGATTTGCTGTGTGATGTAGAACGGACAACGTTTAAAGAAATATCTTTTTCATGACCCTGTTGAACAGTTTGAATCTACTTCGGCCGCGCTCTGACCAGCTGTTACCACGTCAGTCGGATCAATACCGATCTGTTTTAAAACAATGAACTTGTTCAGAGTTTTGAGCAACAGGGAAGGCCTTAATGGTTCATTATTTTTGTCCAGAAACCACTTTAAAATCTGAAGAATGAAAAGGCAAAAGTTTAGTTAAAAGTTAGAAACCACCAGCTGCTTCTTACACTCATGAGCCCCCCAACCAGGTCGTTGGTGTGGGGGTCGTCGTCTTTGGAGGCGAGCTGAGGGGAGTAGAGCTCGGTGGTCCTCAGGATCTCCAACACGCGATCTAGAGCCTCAGCTACTGTTACCGGACTGCTCTCCTGGGCTGCGTTGATGATGTTTATTACCTGCGTTTCCAGAAGCGTAATTATATCCCTTTTACACCTCTGAACATTAAAACACACAAAGCACAAAGAGACCTCGGCATTTCTGGTTACAACCAGGTGGCTCTCTGTGTTATAGAGATGTTCATGCGATTTATTTTTTTTAATCTCGTCTGAAGAAAAAAAAAGCCCAAAGAGGACAGTTTTTAGATCACAAGAGCATCACGGGACCTGCAGCGGGAGGAGAGTAGAACAATGTTACACGCTGTAGGCTAATTATGACACAACTCCAAGAACTGCTGGGTAAATCTGAAGCTAAATCTGCTTTTTTGCAATACAAAATCATGATGTAATAAAAATATAACCTCATTATCAACCCTTTAAGTAGCTCAAAAAGTGACATTCACAAAAACCCATAATTACTCAGTAAATATCGTCTGATTTATCCAGACTGGGAACAAGCAAAATGTGTTTTCCTCAATTCAAGTTGTTCGCATAATTATTTCAAGTCATTTAAAACTAAACTGACCCCATAACCTGATTCACTTCACCAAAGTTCTAGTGATACCGAGCTATTCACTTCTGGGCCTCGAGGGCCGGTATCCAGCACAGCTTTAACTCAGCTTCAACACACCTGATTTCAGTTAGTAGGTGATTAACAGGCTTCTGCAGAGCCTGATGAGCTGCTGCACAGGTGATTCGACCACTGCATCATGTGTTGGGCCTGAGAAACCACTAGAATGTGCTGAATACCGGCCCTCGAGGCCCGGAATTGAACAGCCCTGCAGTAAAATGTCTTTAATTCAGATGGTCAGAAAACACTTCCCTTTAAAGGAGCTGTTACGTTAATCATGAGCAGAGAGCACGTTACACCTCAGAAACAAACATCTTGTAAAGGAATCTTGTCAAACATGAAAACCATATCGTTCGGGGTAAAAGTCCTGCTTCTTAACCTTTTAGGTTTAGACAATGATAATAAAACATCCCAAAAAAACGGTTTCCTTTATCATTTCTGATTGTACAAAGTCAATAAAACCATAAATGTTACAGTAATAGGACTTTATTTTGCTGTTTCACTTCATCTTCTTCTTGGTCTTCTATGACTGTTGGCAAATGCTTTTTAGGCGCATACTGCAGCTTCCTGTTTTCCTCATTATTTAACTTTTTTCCTTATTTCATCAGCCAATCTGCTGGTTTACACACCAGTGTTCCATTTGCTAATCACCCCAGCTGGTTTCCACCCAGTGATCACTCTTTCAGCATAAAAACACCTCGTCATCAGTCGTTGGCCCAATCCCAATACTTGAAGAAGAAGAAGAAGAAGAAAAATATAATTTCTATAGCGCCTCTCAAGATAAAAATCACGAGGCGCTTCTCAAAAACAAAAAATGTAAAAATATAAAAAAGAATTTAGAAAATGTTTAAAAATGGAATAATGTTGCTTCAGAAGATACTTTTTGGCAGAAACTCATCCCGCTGACAGGAGGAGATGCTCCTCCATTTAAACACGGTTCGGCACTTCACTGACAAGCGAAACAGCAGCTGTATGTGTCACGTGACCACTTCGTAAATGATAGCATCGAGACGAGCTTTCGCTCAGAGCTAGATAGACGCACCTACGCATCAGCGTTGCTCGACCCATCACTGCTGCTTTGTCTTCAGAACATTAATTAATCGTCTTTAAATTAACTACGTTCATTTGAAAATAATTTTCAGAAACAGCACTTGAGCCTTTTCCTCCTGCAGCAATGGATTGTGGGTAAAGCCCTTCATGCCCAAGTCCACATCAATGCGGACTTGGGCATGAAGGGTGCAAAAGGGGATTGATCAACGTCCGCACTTGAGGATCGGGACACCCTACACACTCGCAGCCCTAGCTGGGATCGCATAATTTAAGGGCACAAGTGTGGAAATGCGAGTGTTGGGATTGAGTCAGTCATAGGCCCAGTCCCAATGCTCGCACTTCCACCCTTCAAAGGATATTTCCCACAATCCATTGCTGTGTGGGAATTTTTGAAAAGGCGGCAAAACAATGGCTCAAGTGCCTTTTCTGACTATACGTATTTTCAAACGAAACTTCATTCTCAGATGATTGATGATATTCACGCTCTGAATGTTTTAGAATAAGATTTGAAAGTTGCTAACAATGATTTTTTTTAAAGCAGCATAAACAGCGACCGGCATCGTGGCATGCATCGTGGTAACGACGCAGCGGTTTCTGTCCTATTTCGGTAATTATGCACACTTGTGTACCACGCACTCGAAGCCTTACCGCACACTTCCTCCAAGTGCACTTCACAGAAGACCATAGGTTGCAGTGCGTGCATTGGGCTTTATTCACATCCTCATGGAAATCACCACCATTGTCCTTTCAGGGTTTTCCTGATCTCTTTTGCTCAAGTTCAGAAAGATTTTAAATTAAATTTTTGATCAGTACAATTTTTTAATTTATTACAATTTCTGTCAGCATTTTGTGTTTAACAGCTCTCCGTACAAGACAGCAGGTGATTTGTTCTGACTAAAGAGTCAGTAAGTAAAAGAAAGGCAGGTTGTGCCACCAAACCTTTTTAATAAGCCAATTCCACCAAATCCAGTCTTCTAAAACTTTATGTTGTCAAATTTATTTTTACATAAACGGTTTTTAACTCATGCACTGTGATTGATGACTAAAGTTGAGTTTTGTTAACGGGTTAGGGTTATGCTGGGAATGAGCTCGCTCACCTTGAGAGTAAATATCACGTCTCAAAGGCTGATTTACATCCGTGTGTGTCGCACGCGATCATGAAGAAGACAATATATGAGTTAAGGTTGGTTTATGCTTGACGCGTCCGCGAGTTGTCATTTTAACAACCACGCCCCTCCACCGCGCCTCCGCACGGCCCAAACTTTCCGCACCGCTCACCTAGGAAATTGTCTAACAACTCGGATGGTCGAACACGGAAAAACATGGCGGACTGGCAAGAACCAGTATGGCAGAGGTTCATAAATACAGACATTTGTATGATTCAGCTCTCAGAGATCACCGTGATCAACATGTTGTTAATAATTCTTGGAGAGAAATAGCTCGCACTGTTGGAAAAGACGAGGACGCTGTTAAAAATGCTGGAATGCCATGTTGTAAATAACAGTCATTGTTACTTCTACTATGGTGTAGTGTTGGATGCATGCCGTAGAGCTCCATGCTGCCCCCTACAGTTTGGGAGAATATTGGCTCACCGCAGAGACGAGCCGCATGAACCATAAACGCTGCAAGTTGTGAAGCGCGTTCCATCCGCGAGCCGCATCACCAAGCAGAAAGTAAATGCGTCAAGCATAAACCAAGCTTTAGGAGGTTGGTTTGGGACGCCGCTAGGCCGGCAAGGTGCAGCTGGAAACGCTTCTGCAGCTCACGCTTCCAACAACGAAATGTGAAGGAACGGAAAAAGCTAGAAACACGCTGATTCTTCCTGACGTAAGAAGTGAGTCTACGCTCTTTTTTGGTGGTTTTGGTGTTTACATCATCGTAGAGCACAACGTTCTGTGAGTCTTCTAAAAATAGTAAAAACACTCAAAAACACTGTCAGTCAGGGGCTTTCTGTTCAGAAAACGGCTGGCAGTGAATGAGTTAAGATATGCAAATGAATTTAGTCATTTCATTTGACGGATGCATTTACGACACACAACCAGAAAAGAAGCAAAGCAGCGTACCTTTGTGATTGGAGCCTCAATAGTCATCGAATGAATCCTGGCAACAGATGAGTATCTGCGATTCTGTAAACTTGGAGCTGTGATAAAAAAAAACATTATTAGGGATGTGAAACCTTATGTATTAAAGTTGTCTTCACTTAAAAGTATCATTCACTTGGTTTTTCAACAAATCTGCTGTGGCCTCTAAATCAAAAAGTTTAAATTAATGATTTTTTTTCTGTGGGAAAAAAAAGCTCTGGCGCTCCAGTTTCAGGGAGTAAGTTTGTTGGAGGAGTGGTTGGGTTGGAGTGCAGAAAATAAAAGGATTATGAGTCTTGCTAGACCTTCAAAGACATTACCAATGGCTAAAAAAGCATTAATCCTTAATGTTGGAGGCTGAAAAGCAAAGGTTACAGAGTTTCTGGTGTTTGAACGAAAGAGGAAACAACGAACAAAATGTAAACACTCAATTTATTTAACCATATATTTTCAAAACTTTAATGCATATTGGGACTTTATGTAAGATTAGGGTAAAGATGGAAAAATGCTTGAATGAAACAATGAACTAAAAAACAGAAGACGGGCTACATTCGGCTGAAAAAGGCAGCTGCGTCAAACTGAGCTGACGTCAGAAAAGTGGACGTCAGCAGCCCACAGCTTCTCCTTTAGGACCTCTTTAGTTTTAAGTAGCAACCATAACACAGTCTGACTCATTCTGGTTGTATTCATCCCTTCATTCTTCCTAATCCGTCTGTAACTAACTTCCACCCCCTTGTCCTCCACACAATGGCTCAAACTGATGCTATTCATTCATTAAGATACAAAAATAAAATAAATAATCATTTTAAAGCCTTTCAGACTAAAATAAAACTGGCATCAATACAGGGAGTTAAGATCACCACATATTATTTACTCTTTTTTTGGTTGCTTTTAGATCTAAATGGACCGTGTTGCTTTGATCCTACAAGTTTGAAATTGAAGTAAACAATACCCATAGATTTTATTGTTTTAAAAGTGATCTGAGATTCAGTTTAGAAGTAATTTATGTTCCTTTTTATCATCCTTTTCCTTCTTTACTTTAATTTAATTCGACACACTAGATCTCCCTACTTAGGCTGCTGTCCCCACGACCCGACCCTGGATAAGCGGCTGAAAACGGATGAATGGATGGACAATAGGATGGGTTTAACAAACGCTGGCGGAAGTGAAGCAGACGTTGACACGACATGCGCAATGGCTGAAGGATCGGACAACAACGCTGCAGCTGCTTACTGTCTGAAGGTGTTACACGAGATGATTTTATCAGAAGAACGCTTTCGCAGTCTTGTCCCGTCCAAAAGGCAAGCGTCCAACTGCTCACAGCTCGGCTGAGCTGTTTACATGCAGGAAACTAACGCGTTTGCATGCTTTTACAAAAAACGCACTGAAAGATGAAGGCGTTGTACCGGTCTGTCGTGGTCACGAGAGAGCTGAGCTCAGCTTATCGGTCGATCCACGTTCCAGCCCTCATCTATGGTCATGAGCTTTGGGTAGTGACAGAAAAAATGAGATTTTGGATGCAATGTGTTTTCTCTGCAGGGTGTTTGAGCTCTCCCTTAGAGATAGGGTGAGAAGCTCGACCATCCGGGAGGGGCTCAGAGTAGATGTGCTGCTTCCCCTGGAAGAGCTGGCACAAGTGGCTGGGGAGAGGAAAGCCTGGGCCTCTCTGCTTAAAGCCGGGTGTACACTGTGCAACTTTTTCACTTTTTTGAGCCGATTTTCCAGTCGTGCGAGAAGCCACGACATCGGGGCGAGTTTTGCGCCGATCGGTCGTGTAGTGTACAGGGGGTTACGAGAGGCGATTAACACCACGTGACCAGCCGCCGATCAGCAGTCGTGAGGTCGCAGGGACTTCTGGTGTGTTTAATATTTCGCTCGTCCCTCGTGAGGGTATCGCACTGTTGAAGCGGCGCTGCGAGCAGCTACGATCCAAAAAGTATCAGAACCGCTCACGGCGCATGCGCGCGCAATCCTGCATCAACGCCGGCCGGTCGCTCGCTATTTCCCTAATAACACACGCTGTTCGTTTTTGTTTCTACACGTTTTTTTACTCACAAAGATTGTCAAGAAAGCGTGTTTGTCGTGTTCATGTCAAATTAAACTGATCACAAAACACAGATTCACTTAATTTATTTCGTTTTCCTCATCCAACCCCCATAAATCCCTGTGTGTCCTCCTGCAGCACTCCCGAAGGACAACAGGCAAGACAAAAAAGGCTGACGTGTTGAGTAAAAACTGCTATTTTTAGCACATTTTTAGGGCCGACATGTTGCTACCAGACGTACAGTGTGAGCAGTCAGGTCGCATGCCAGAACTGGGTCGTGCAGTGTGAGCACATGACTCGTGAGATCTGCTCTGTGAGGAAGTCGTACAGTTTGAGCTGAAGCTGAACGCTGCGAGTGAAAAAGTCGCACAGTGTACGCCCGGCTTAAGCTGCCGCTCCTGCGACCCAACCCCGGGTAAGCAGATGATGGATGGATGTGCAATTTAAATAAAGCTGCGTTGCCTATTAAGGTGACATGGAATGAAAACACTCTGCTTGTAGTTACCTGACTGAAAATGGTCCCCGCCAT